TTATTTAATATGTAAAGGTAAAGGGAAGAGACAAGTGTCGGGGCAAATATAAAATGACCCATGACAAGGGAAGTAAAACTATAAATACAGAGATTTTACTCTGTTTTATTACAGTGTAAAGAGGAGACATCTATCGAACCTTTATTTAATGAACTCCATACTCGAACATGACCATATTTTTTTTATGGATGAAAATGGTATGGTAACCCCGCCTGCGCTAACGAAATACGCTGGCGGAGCATCAGTGAAGGGTGATAGATGAGAATGAAAACAGGCCAGTTAGCCCATCATGATGAATTCATCAGGAATTAACCATGACAGTTTCCAAAGAGAACGAGGAGGTCGACCTGGTTGGGTATATTGCTAGCAATGGGATTCTCAGTCTCCATTACTAACAATCCTTTTCCCCCCAACATGACCATATTACCTCAGTAATATAAATAATTAAATCACACATACAAATATTGGGATTTCGATCTCTAACTGTATGTTATTCCCAACGTCTCACAAAAACAGCTAAAGATCTAACTTTTTTCATAAAGAAGATATAACAAATAAGAACAGTCGACTTTTTCCATTACCTCGTAATATAATATATTATTTTTAAAAACTTATATTCATTTTAATACAATGTCTATATACATACATATATAATGTAATATCCCCAACTTTTTTGGTGGGTGAAAATGGAATGGTAATCCTGCCTGTGCTGTGTATAGACATACACGTGCGAAATACCAGTGAGTGATGATAGGTGAAGATAAAGACAGACCGGTTAGCTCATCGTGACGATTTCACTTGGAATTAACCACTATGGTTTACCGCGATCGCGTGGAAGTAGACCTAATACCCTATATTACTATTAATGGAAGTTTTAAACCCCAAACAATCCCTTTCTCTCTTCTATATCACTAGGTTTTTTTTATGGGTGAAAATGGAATGGTAACCCCGCATTAAAATACGCTGGCGGAGCACCAGTGAAGGGTGATAGATGAGAATCATAGCAGGCCAGTTAGCTCAATGATGAATTCATCAGGAATTATCATGATATATCCAGGGGGAACCGCTAAGACCTGGTTGGATATAGGTCAATGGATTCTCAGGTCCATTACTAACATTCCCTTCCCCCCTATATCACTAGGTTAGGTACTTAACAATATACTCATTTACCTATAACATATTAAATTTCAAAGGTCATAAATATCACTCGTCTCATATACCTAAATCTAACTTATTATTGATTATGAGTCAGACAGGACTTATCTCTTTAATAGTTTTATAAGATAAAATACCTATAACCATAAAATTTTCTAGATTTTTATTTTCCTTTTCATATATAAGTACCAGCAAGTAAGTATACTAAAATGACAGCATCAACTTACATATGGCTACAAAAATATACCATAAAAATTGGTGGATAAACGCTTTTCTTCGTTTATATGTAAGTTCGGTTTAACAATGGTATAATCTTCGCTTCTCCAGATAAAAGTAAAGTGTATTCTAAAATAAAAGTGTATTCTAAGATAAAAGTGTATTCTAAGATAAAAGTGTATTCTACGAGATAAAAGTGTATTCTTAAACATAATATAAAAATAAATATCAAAAAGTGGTGCCTATTGAGTAGATAGGAACTACATTAAAATAGTACGAATTTTCATAGCATAGAATTACCGCTATCGGTATACCCAGCTAATGAATAAATAGGTGAGGATTAGGTCATATAGTAGGTCAAACAGTCATTCATGATAACTGCCAATGAGGCCACTAGCCTTCTTTACTAATAATCCTTCCCCCCCCCCCCATCTTACAGATAGGGTTTTTTTTTATGGGTGAAAATGGAAAGGGAACCCCATTGGGTATATTCCTACCAATGGGATTCTCAGTCTCAATTACTAACAATCTCTTTCCCCCCTACAGATAGGGGTTACTGAATCTTACACGATATCAAACGATTAAATATATATATTCATAGTTAATAGTTAATCACATACAGATAACATGATTTGGGTCTAGTCAAAACAAAATACGTAAGCAATTATAAACGGACATACACATGTATCGTACGACACACGCCCAGTAAGAATCCTTAACCTTAGGTCACTAACAAGTTTACAACATCGATATCAGAGTACTTATACTTTATGTTTAAAAAAAACCATATCCTGTATGTACTTGTTTATTATCTTGTTTAATTTCGATAATTAGTGCGTGAGGTTACTAACATTTGATGCGGAGGACAGCCCAACACTAGTGGTGGATGTACATCACTAAACTACCATAGACACAGCGAGAGCGGGAAAAACTCTGCTCTCGTTTTATTCTTGCCTTTGGCCAATAAAAAGCAATTTAAACTAATTAAGATTGTGTTCCAGAAAAAGTCGGCTCCAATTGTGGCCGATTTTATAATATTTCTATTGGACCAATTTGTAAGCTTTCAGATAAAAAAAATAATTTTTCCTATCGGTTTACAACTGACAGAGAGTTCAGAGGGAAGAAACATAAAAAAGTACAAACGAATTTAAAACTTCCTTCTTTTTGAAGTCATTACGTATTAATCTGATCAACAATAAAACCAGGGACTTCATTTGCAAAAAACTAGGGATTACTTAGCATTGTGCCACGGAGTTATCTATCTATATGTTTATTATATGCTTAGTTAGCCTTATTTTTTCTCTCTAATGAATTACTGTTTGCATGGCTGTGTTTCGCTTTGAATGGTGGGATATGGCAGTGAATTTACAGGGTACAGATGAATAATACCTAAGCCCTCAGGAATGGCAACGCATGGGGGGTATCATGGGCGAAACAGCATACTCTGTTATGTCCAGGATACTGTTCATGTCTATAGGCGACGGTTACCACTTTCCATCTGGTGAGCCGTCAGCTTCTTTGCCATTCTAAGTTGCATAAAAAAAAAAACTTTGATTTATAATCTTTAGTAGTGAGATTTTTTTTTCCAAATTCATAAACTATTCCATTCTTTTGCACTCTTTAATCTCCTGAATATCATAATATTGTCGCATTCTGGTCTGTCATTAACTTCTTTTTATTAATACCACCTACCTTTAAGGTCAACTTAATCTAGCAAATAAACACTTCAATTAAATATTTATTTTATTAGCTTATATTTTATTACACTAGTTACGATAAATAATTAAAAATGAAGTAATACAAAAGGCGGTCTTATCACTAAGCAGTCTTCCAGACAACCTTTGGGTATAGGACATTGAGAAATAAACCCGGTCAAGTGTGAGTTGAACTCAGACGCCGAGGATTCCATACATAAAGTAATCTCTAAAAAGGTTTTTATTTTCTTCTAATTAAAAATTTTAAATATTCGACAATAGTATTTTTTAAATTATTATTATGGCAATCTATGGGGGAGGCCAATATTCAGCAGTGGACGGATAACGGCTGAGATGATGACGATGATTGCTAGTGATCTTTCATGCCAATTGTTTTTTTTAATGACAGTTCCTTAATAGAACGTTATATAACTCTGCTAATTGATAACCATCTATTGCGAGTCGTCGGAAATTTTATTGTATTTCTACAGATGCAAATACATAGTTGCAATTACCCGTGTCTGTAGTGTCTTATATTTATTTATTCAAACTTTAATGCACTATTTGTTATCTGTACACGTGTTGTAATAGATTAAAAATGTTACGTATTCATCATTAGTAATGATTCATGATTCATTACATTATCGTCCCCAGTATATCGAACAATTATAATTACGATTGATGGAAACTGTGAGAAAGATATTGAAAGGAGAATGAAAGCGGGAAACAATGTTAATGGTGCACTGCTCTCGATTATAGCAAGCAAAAATCTATCTAGCAAAACTCGCCTTGTATTAATTCAGGGTGAAGTGACACCAACATCTTTGGAAGCGAATTGTAGGTATGGCAGAAGAAGCATGAAAGTAAAATAAATGCTGCAAAGATTAGAGAGAGCTCTGAAAAGTATGTAAGGTATTAAATTAAAATATAGAGTAAGAAATAGTGTAATTAGAGAGAAGTGTGGACTGAAAGACGAAGTGATGACAAATTTCAAAAAAGAAATCTTTCGATGGTTTAGCAATTTGAAGAGAGAAGATTTACGAAAGAGATATATCGAGCAAAAATGAATGGAGATGTCGGTAGAGGCCGCTCTAGACGGATATATGTGCACCAAATAGGCGTGTGGCCTAATTAATTAAAAGTAGCCGTAACCGGCGAGCGTGTATGAAAAGATTGATTAATATGGAGGAAGCCTAAGAGGTTTCTTTGAATTGAAGCATTTGACACTCTGTTGTTTCTGCCTACCCTAATGAAAGACAAGCGTGAGAAACAGCATACATATACGTACATACACGTATATGCATATGTATATAACAACATAAAAAACATTTAAAAAAATGTATAATAAGAGGTCTAGGTAAGACTAATAGATGCCAAAACAATATTTCTAAAATGTTTTCTGTCTACCTGGCTTTATGTTTGTACTGACATCACACAAACATTACTGCACCAAATTAGATGCTGTTTTCACAATTATGTTCCTGAAGATCTAACTTAATTGGCATGGCTAATTTAAAATATGTTTCATATTGATACGCTTTTTAGATGTGGCATTTTTCGTTTGTTTTCCTGCTCTTGAAATCCACGTGTCAGAAGTAGCGTATTAATTAAAAAAATATCCGTGCTCAATAGTATGACATTAAATTGCTTATAATACGTATAAATGTTACAGAAATATACCTATTATTCTCTGTAAGAGCCAATAATACAATAATATGCACTGGGTAGTACATAAGAGAATCCGGACTTACATGTTTGATATAAAAGTAGATATCACAACTTAAAATATTAATGTAACATTAAAAAGTTACATAATATTATCTCCAATTCGGTAGTCATTATTTATGATTGCAAACTTGATAGTGAGTACATAGTACTAAATACGTAATAAGAATATACGCGGTTACTTTTAAAAAAAGAATAGGCTGTAATTCAGTTGCCGCGCAATCGCCAGTGTTGTCAGTCAAGCATAGATTCTAATTTCAAATTTTTTTTTTTAACAGTTCAACCGACTATTAACATAATGTGGCTACCGGTGTTCCATTTATCTGTGATTGCATTAAATGTATATGCGTGCACTTACGATCAATTGTATTTGGACATACCGTTTCCATCCAAAGTGTTTGACGATATGCCGTTCAAAGCCCGATACATGTTTCTAACGATATGGTGTTTTGTAAGTACTACTACTTTTAAAACTTCAGATCTAATCGGCTTTACCTTTTTATTGTTATTGTTGTTTAATTAACAAAAGTGTGAGAATTTATTATCGTTGTTCCATTGGTGTTTTATTGTTTATGATATAATTATGTTTTATTATGCTAAATTGCACTTTGAAATTTATTATACCTAAACATTAACAGTGCGCTTTCAAACGAACTTTCTCTCGCAAACGCTCAGGCTGTAGAATAAGCTCCCTGGCGAGGTTTTCCAAAAAGATTACAGTATGGGGTTCTTTAAAAAGAGTATATTAAGGTTTCTTTAAAGCTCGGCAACATGCACGTGATATTCCTAGTATTGCAGGTATCCTAAGCATTCATAAGCTACAGTGAGTGTCTACCATCAGACCGACTGTATGCTTGTTTGCCACTTCATAATATAAAAAAAAATATGTCCGCAATATAAATTTGTATGAAAATTTTGAAGCTTACGTAAGTTCACGAAATTAAAATTTATAATTGTTACACTGCAAAACTAATCAACACCTAATTTTTTATCACTGCATGGGCTGGAAAAATGAAGGAGAAAGAAAAGCAAAGAGAAAGAAAATCTGAATTGTATTTAAGAACATGACATCAAAGTAGAAATATAAGTATTTTATGGAAAAACTCATAACAAGTTAATGTAAAATTGTTATAAATGCTTTCATATAGAAGACTCAGGGCAAATCATATGAAGGCTAAAAGAAGTGAAGTAAATCTTAAATACGAAAGTTCATAATTGATTATCGGAAGATATTCAACTCTATCATTAGATAGTAAAACATCATAAGACTGATATACATACATATAAGATACAACAGGTTCTGCTAGCAACTCCCAGATATAAATCTTGTAAAGATTTTTGAACACAACTATAAGAAACCTTGACAAGTCCTCAAGATCAAATCTTTATATCAAGTAAATAAAATGAAATTATACATTAAACTAACAAACAAGGAAGAATAGAAATATACAACTTAATATAAACAACATCATATAAATCGGATAAATGCTCGAAGCACAATGGTCTACAAGACTGAGATGCTGACGTGCATTGAACTTAGACCCCAGAGTTGAAAGGCTTCTCAGAATTATTTTCAGAGAATTATCAATGAAAATGAAAAAAGTTCTTGAGTGACGACCGCGAACGGATGAACGCAATGTAGGACAACCCCCACTAAATGGAGTGACGACCTGAAATGCATTGCAGATAGTCAGCGGATGCAGGTAGCTCAGGACCATTCTTTATGGCAGTCTATGGGGGAGGCTTATTTCCAGCAGTGGACGGATAATCCCTGAAATGATGACGATGATGATCAATGGACTGCTATTCACAATATTGCTATTTAATTACGTAAGAACAATGTAATTTTAGCTGTTACAGAAAGCCCATTAAACTAGGGATAGTCGCCCTCGTGAACTGAGACCAAAATTAAAGGTGCGTGATATCATAAATTTTGAGGAAAAACTTGAATTCTGAACATATTCACTTTTCAAAGATAACAAATATTTTTAAATTAACGAAACGTATCTGTGAGATCGTAGTAAACTCTCTCCCTACAACAACGAAGAATAATATGACGAGTCCATTAATGCCTCTAACTATCCCATCTGAGATTAAAGCCATGATCGTTTAACAAGTGGTCTAAGCACTATACAATAAGCAATTTATGCGTTTCATCGACCACCACAAGGTGATTCTGCCCAAACATAGAGCAAATTGTGTTGTTTGGTCTATTGTACAAAGTTTTTATAGACAGGTAATTCATCTTCACACCCAAAAATGGTCACACACAGTGCGGTTTCATGGAAGCTTCCTCCCGCGAACGCTCAGGTTGTGGAATGACCTTCCTGCCGAGGGTTGGCTGCATGGGATTCTTCAAAAAGAGCATAATATTTTTTTTAAAGTTCAGCAACGCGCATAACATCCTTAATGTTACAGGCCTCTACACTGTCGTAATCCCATTTACCATCAGACGGACTCCAAGATTGTTTGACTTAGTAGTAGCATAAAAAACTTCTAATAATGTATTTAGACTTGGCGACATAGAGAGATAATAATATAATATACAGGTACCTATTTTGGCATGACTATTAATAAACTTGTACCTATTAAAACAGCATAAACAAAAGAATTTCAATTATTAAACAATTTAAATTAATAACCGGAGACATTGAGTTTTAGTTAAAAATACTTATCAGGTACCTATATGCCTTATTCCTATATATTCAACCACAATTACAACAACCAAAAAGGTTTTAGACCTTTACTATAAATAAACAAAGCCACAAACATACCTAATAGATAGACACACCTACTACCTCAATTTATATGGAACCTGAACTTCTAACATCTAAAGAACTTACATTAATGTTATAAAAGCTATTTATTCATAACAAATCCTCTTTACACTAAAACCTTCCAAAAATACTAATAGTACTGCTTTTTAATACTAAGTTGTTTCGACATAAATTTTATTTCTAATCGACATTTTTTCCAAAAACAAATAGGTCAATCATTACTTACTACTTCCTTACTACTTATATAGATAGAGTGTCTCCATACAAATGCTTCGCGAAAAGCGGGTCAACTTTTTCATACAATTTTGCGTGGCAAATAGTTATAGGTGTTTCCTTTATAAGTTCTATATTTATTTTCTTTTATAATTTTTGCATCTTTTTAATGCGTTAGAACTCATTTTATTTATTAAATAATTAAATAGAGATACATCAATATACATTATGTGCATAAGTATATAGAACACTGATAGAAAAACGAGTCAGATTATTTGACAATTAGCTCATAAAATGTTGACCCGTTTTTGAGACTCGATGCTCTATCTATATAATTTATGGCTGCATACTACATTTAATTTAAGGCTATTTAAGTTTTTACAAGCCATTTAAAAAAAACAATTCGTAAAATATGGAAAAATGACATAAAATAGTCGGTACGCTAAGCAATAATTACTCTATGGGGTTGCTTTCATGAATGCCAGTTTAATAATTAAGCATTATGTAATAAGGCCTGTTAATTAATAAATAATCATTTATAGTGACTCGTACGGCAGAAAATTAAGCATTATACACACGTATCGTGTCTGCGGGCATATTTTACAAAGTATGTATACATACACGTGCCTTGCAAAATGTTCTATTAATCTTACTAATATCATAAAACTATAATCTAAGCATAAAACCTTATAAAACATAAAGTGTGTAAAGATTTTTTAAAGTTTGTATGTATAGATGATTGTTACTCAATGACACCTAAACGGCTGAAACGAATTTAAATGAAATTTGAATTATAGATATTCCATGTTTGAATTAATATAAATCAATACTACAGGAAATCATAAATAATTATAACACAAGGCAACTTAGATACGTAAAATTATTTCGAATATCCACTGTTTACGTGATAGTGAGTACATAGCATAATAACGTTGTGTACATGCACGCGGTTACTTATTATAAAAAAAAAATAAGCTGTAATTTAGTTGGCGCGCAAACGCGAGTGTTGACAGTCGAGTAGATATTATAATATTTATTTAATTTTTTCTTTATAACAATCTAACATAATGTTGTTACCTGTGTTCCATTTATCGGTGGTTGCATTAAATGTATATGCATTTACATATGATCAATTGTATTTGGATATACCGTTTCCATCTACAATATTTAGCGAAATGCCTTTCAAGGCTCGATATGTCTTTTTGACAATATGGTGTTTTGTAAGTATTTCTTTGTGGTTTTTTTATGAAACTTAGAATGGCCAATAAGCTGACGGTCCATCACCAGTACCCGCCTGCAAAAACTTTCTTTTCTTCTAGAGTATATATAAAAATCCTTATATTAAATGTCAATAAAAATCATTTTATTATTATTATTATCATCAGAAATAATTCATCTAAGAACGTCACAGTTAATTTTTGTGCATAAAAACGAAATTTTCATTAAATTTATTGGAGATAAATATATATATATATATAAATATATATATGAAAAATAAAATAAAATACTATATTGCTAATACAAGGCGTTTTCAATTTCAATACATCCAAATATTATATTGATGATTATTTAAGACAGTGTCAGAAAAAAAATTTGTAACTCATTTTTCGAAGTCCATATTAAATTATTAAATATTTGTACATACGAGTATGTACAAATATTTAATAATATGTGTAGATAATATTTGTTCCTTTATTATTTTTTTTAATCTTAATTCCTATTCGTATATGTCAGTCAGTCAGGATATGATACCTTAAATTAAGAATACATTTTAATTTTAAAATTACTCCCTCTCCCTCAGCAAAATGTTTTGTCGCTATATTTAAAAAAAGAATATACTATTGGGGATTTAAAAGGGGAGATATACAATTTTCACATTTTAATATTTGGATGCAATAACCTCGAAAATCTCTTGAATAAGCAATATATTTCAATCTTAAAATATTCATAAGTTGGATTGAAGGGCGAATGAACGGATAAATGTATGCAAAGTTGTAAAAAGGTAGAAAATAAGTGAACATATTTCAAAAACCTTAATAAACATTCCTTGGTTTTTGCACAATTTTGAACTGTATATTAATTTAGTATTTATTAGGCTCTATACCACCAACCACTCGTAAATAATATTCCAGATAAAAAAAGAAACGGACAATTCTAAATTCAAATTTCGAAATTGTTAGAGAATCCACAATACGAAACCTGAAGTTTGTCTAATTGATTGCCGAACAATAAGATACCTATTAATTTTGTGTCGGCTATATTAACGTTGTTTGCGATAAGCAAAAGTTTCGCACCACATTATTACAGGAGTTTCTGACTTTACCATAACAAAGACCATAAACTAAAGGTGGTGTGACCTCTATTAATATTGATGAGCCCCGTAGAAGGGGATCAGTGCCAATATTATTCATTTAATAATAATCTACTAAAATAGGCGTTATTTTGTTTTATGAGGTTATTGTTAATATAATAAAAAAATAAACATAACACGTAAATAAACCATGTAGTTTATTAAAACAATAATATAATAATCTATTCCTGGCTGACTGATTATGGTATTTACACACATACAGCATATTTTTAATATAGTGTGTTTTTTGTTAATTTGATGAAAATGGAATTTTAATTCCACCTTTACTATCGGTATACAATGGCGGGTAAGTGTATGAGTAATAATAAGTTGGAAACGAAGTCAGGTTAATTGTGAGGAATATATCAGGAACTTAGATTATATAGATAGAGTCTCGAACCTCAAAAACTGGTCAACTTTTTGTCAGCTAATTGTCAAATTAGCTGTCAAATTAGTTCTATATATTTACGCACATAATGTATCTTGACTTACCTATATTTAATTATTTCATATATAAAATGGTTTTTACGCATTAAAAAGATGCAAAAATTTAAAATAAAATAAATATTATAAGTTATAAAGAAAACACTCATAACTATTTATTACGCAAAATTGTATGAAAAAGTTGGCCCACTTTTCTCGAAGCATTTGTATGAAGACACTCTATCTATATAATAAATATATATATAAAAAGCATTCCTTACGAATGACGGCTAGCTAAAAAATAAAAAACTAGTCAATTCTAACAAAACCAACATAACATATCCAAAATAATAATCCAATTTTTAAGTCCGTATAATATAAAAAAAAAAAGTTCTAAATGTATAGAAACTAATCACATTTACTTATTAATATAATTAGTAGGTATTGTACATACGTATTTTTGTTATATACACATACTTCATTTTCTTTGATAACAATATCCGTTACCAACTATCTTGGATTTGACCTATGTTCAAATTAATAACATAATAAAGATAAACAATTGCCATAAGTGTCATTAGGTGAAGTTTTGACCCCAATACTACATTGTATTAATATTAATCGATACCACAATTATCAAAGTTTATTATATATAAAATTATCTCATTAAAATCTCAAATAGAGAGGGAGAGGAATTGTTAAGAACAGTATTAATGTCCCATAACTGTAATATATCCTGTTAGGTCGTGTGATTCTAGCGCAGAATGGACCATCCCTTCCTTTCCCATACGTGTTGTAAGAGGTGACTAAGGAAACTTAATAGTCGAGGAATGGGCACCAGCATCCGTCTTGGCACATCACTGAAGCTGACTGCGGTTGCCAATGCACCTGCCAAGCATGGCAACTTCTGGCAAAATCCCCCAAGAGGGAGGCCAATGTTCTGCAGTGGACAGTTAATGGCTGGTAATCATACCAGACATCAGATCATCAGATCATCAGATGACAATGATCCTGTTAGGTCGACCTTCACACTGTTACTCCTAGAAACGAGGATACGTCACGATGGCTTAATTGACTTGCCTCTCAAGACAAAGTACAAACGAATCTATCGGTAGAATCGCTTTAGTTAACTCAGTATCACATGAGAAAGAGTAAGACAGTGCACATCACCATCTCATTCTATGTCATGGGCTCGTTGGCGATAACGATTTTATCGATAAATTCGTCTGTACTTTGTCTAGAGGGCCGATTTCATCTTCACATATCAACCCTCACTGGTACTCCGCCAGCACAAACTAATACGAGGTTCCATTTTCATGTTAAAATGTATCTGTTGACGACACGAGTTTCACTTCTAAACGAGGCATTTTAAGGCAAACTAATAGATAGATTGATTGATTGTTCGGAGCATAGTGTTAGCCAAACATGCAAGGACGAAATGGCAGTCGGAGAGCGATTGCTAATATGGAAGGTTGTAAAACTTCTGGTGATAATAATAATAGTCAATCTTGGAATAGAATAGTAGCATGAATACTAATGGTAGCGGAATCAAACAAAATAATTCTAATCAACTAATCAATGATATGGACTTCCGCAAAAAAGGTGATTTAAGCTAGGATTCGATTTTGAGATCCCCGTCACACGCAGTCAAGCGTAGTTCAACTGAAGTGTCACCGCTTTACGTCATGCCTGTATACCATAACGTAACGATATCACAGCGCTTTATCTAAATTACCATAAACAAATCAGTAAACCGTAACCAATGAGTGTTTTTACTCTATGGCATTGGTACTGGTCATATGGACGAAATTACCCGTAATTATCTATCTGTAGGTTGACATCAAAATTATAAATAAATCTTTCAAGGAACTGTTCTATTAATGTAACTGAATATTTCTCCAATAGGAATATTACATATAAAAAATTTAAATAATTTTGAGAATTGATTACAAACACAGGACTTTAATCAGGAAATTAGTACAAGTAAATAATAATAAAAAAAAATTGACAGCTATTCGACGCATATATCTTTGGGACAAATATTAAGTTCCTCCAGTAGAACATAATTAATTAAATCTTAAAAAGATAGAGGACGTCCAAGTGTTACGTAACACAATTTTTGGAGATTTTTACCCTCCAATTTGATACTATAGTTTTTGCATGATACAATAAATAAACAAACATACAGACAGACAAGAATTTTGAGAATTATTATTTTGGCTTCTATTACTCTTAATAAGACCCCCTATATAATTATTTCTTTATATTTTTTTTTTTTTCTACAAGCAGACATAGTCTATTTACAACTTTTACCCGACTACGGCTAAGCAAAAAAGAGGGTTGTAGTATACGTACCTATATACGTGATGTCGCTTGTAACCGTCATCGGTCAAGCCAGTTTCCACCCGCTACACTTCTGGACACAAAGCGTAAAATAAATCACAATCACACCCTCGTACTGACATCCACAGCAAGTGTAAGCCCATGACACCCCCGCGGGACCCTGACGCACCATAAATATACCTACCCGACCCACTGAAACGTTTACGAGACACATTGTATTGTAAAACGTTTTTCAATACAGACCCGAGTACATTTGAATTGAAATAAAAACATAACGATTGTTTACAATTCAATTCTATTTTTAAATTAATTCCTATAGACAATTTGTCTATATTTATTTCTTTGTGTGTATGTAACGTGCAAATTCTAAATTAATTTTTGTAACTACTTTTACTGACTAGGATCCTTTAACAGCTTTGTGATTAAAAAGCGTATAGTATTAGGCATAGACAAATGTCATTGAATATTTACTTTTTAAATGTACAGGAGATAGAGTACATAAGTACATAATTAATTTGGTTGACTGTAATAAATCTCTTTTAGAGATAAGTTCGCCTCTGCATACTTTGTTACTAATTTGTTACTGTATGTTTTAGTGCAATAAAGAATATATTATATATATATGACTATATATAATTTAGTTAAATACGCGCTATTTATACCCCCTTGTTTATAAATACGTCAAACCTCTCGTGAACTTATAGCTATTAAATTATTTTATCTTACACTAAATTCCCAATTTGAAAGAAAGTGACAAAACAGTGTAACAGTTACATTTGTAGATTTAGTTAGATAAATTTAATTAGATTATATTTAGATAGGTAGGTAGTTTTAGTTTTTATGAATAATTGTCTTTTTTTTTTGTATATCAATCTTAATACAACACTATATATTTTATTCTGCAGGAAGCCAAAGCCGATAGATTCTCATAGAAAAGTTTCCATAAGTACCTACACATTCATGAAATTCCTATAAACGATCCCACTCCACAAAAGCGATCCCAAGCCACCACTAAAGATCGTTTTCCGTACGCATTTCAACAATAGGTATTTTCTGAATGTGAACAGTGCAAACGTGTATAACTTTTAAATTTGGAATCAATTTTGACAATACTTTCATAAACTAAATAGTTTATTGTCATGATAATCCCATATCTGTTAATTTTGTAGAAATTGATTATTAGATACCTAAGTACATACATATTTTTATATTCTGCAATTATTATCTATTTATTATTTATTTATAAATACTAATGTTATATATCTTATTTATGTTTATATTTTCACTACAGCGTAGTAGGTATAATAAATGCGATTATATAAAAAGTTACGAGACTAGTGTTTGAATTGGGCAATAAACTAAATAAAATAAGTGATGTAGTAACTATACAAGTAAAATGTCTAACAATTCGTCGACAAATGTATACCTCAAAAATAAAAAACTTAAAAAAATTTAAATATTAACTACACTATTTCCCTATAGGTATTATTATCTGAATCAGCAACGCACACGTAATACCTCTAGTGTTACAGACGTTCTTAGGCTACAATGACCGTTTACCATCAAACGAGCTATATGTTTGTCATCTTCGTGGTAAAAAACAATTTAAATTATATCGGCAACTAAGTACCTACCGTACAAGAGTTCATATATTTAATTACATTCTAAAAAACCTACACAAAATTTCATACTGTTTGGTTTATAATGGACATTGTCTATTCTACGTCATTCATTAATTTCATTAACAAAAACATAAATAGGTCAATATTCCTAAATTAAATTACAAAAAAAGTCGAATTAAATATCTACTTGATACATAACCGTAAAACTCATAACTCATGTTTATTTAACACGATCCATGTTAATTTTGCTTCAGTTTAATTCTTTACAAGAATGAAAATTTAAATAAGTACTTAATTGAAATAGCGCCATTTGAAATTTAGTTCGGCAATTTATTATAAAGATAATAAATTCAATTATGTTATAACTCCATACCTACCAAATACTCTGGTGCGTATCATATCAATTTTATCATCGAATAAATAGAAATATACATGTTAAAAGATAGTCTTTTTATACATATAAAATAAAATAAAACACGTTAAATAAAACATGTTACTCTTTTATACGTACGTACGTACGTATAAAAGAGTAACGTCATTTGAACAACGCTTGACTACGGTCCAGAGATCCTAAGATCTAATCTCAGTTCAAAAACCTTTTGAATTTTTCAAATGGGTGTTATAATCCGTCATCCGGTAAGCTATAACAGAAGCCTACGTGTGTAAAAAAGACGGTTTAGAATCAAAAGCGACTACCCTTTCACACAGTATATCATGAACGCCTTACCGCGTCTAGGTACCCACTAGTACTAATAACAAATAATTTGTTGCAGATACTTCAAACTATATACTTCTGTATATCATTTCTAAACGATATAGCAGGAACAAACGAATCATCGCCAAAAAGGACACCTTTTATTCGTACTATAAAAGACGTACTATTCAGCGTGGCTTTTCCCATAGCCCTCTACGTATCCGTAGCCTTCTGGAGCATCTACTTCATTGACAAACCTCTCATATTCCCCGACTATATAGAGGCAATTTTCCCTGCCTGGCTAAATCACACCCTGCACACATTCATCACGGTGTTCCTGATTATCGAATTATTGGTCACCAAGAGGAACTACCCATCAAGAATAACCGGAAGTGCCATAACGATGCTATTCGTCGTAGCCTACGTAATCTGGATGCACGTTATACATGACAGGACTGGATCGTGGCCGTACCCAATCTTCGACGTGCTGAATCTCCCATTACGATTCATATTTTGCGGATTTAGCACAATTTTAGGTTTAGGTATATATGTAGTTGGCGAAAAGCTAAATTCTCTAGTAACCCCTGTATCAAAACAATATTACACCAATGGTACGTCAAAAAAGAGTAAATTGAAATAAATATTTGAAAAAATTGGATTTTATTTACCTTAGTGCCGTGTGGTCCCGGCATAGAATAGGCCATCCATTCCTTTCCAGTGGATGTCGTAAGAGGCGATTAAGAGAGCTTAATGATCGTGGGATTGGAAGCAGCGTCCCTCTCAAAACATCACCAAAGCCTAACTGTAGTCCAGTCTGACATACGTGCCAATTATTGGCAAAGCCCCCTTTTGGGGAGGCCTATGTTAAGCAGTGAACAGTAGAGGGCTGATACGATGATGATTTATGTATAACCTTAGTATTTTGATTAAGTAAATGCTTATATATGTAAGATAAATACCCTAACTCAGCATAATTTCGATAGTTTTGGGTCAAATTTTTTTGTACAATTTGGAACAGAGAGTACTTAAAGTAATAACGTAAGATGGTAGGTAACTATGAAGTCATATCTATGTTTTTTTTTATGGCTGAAAATGGTATGGTAAACCCGCCTGGGCTAACGGGATACGCTGGCGGAGCACTAGTGAAGGGTGATAGCCCATCATGATGAATTCATCAGGAATTAACCATGATAGTTTACAGGGAGAACCGCGAGGAGATCGACCTGGTTGGGTATATTGCTAGCAATGGGATTCTCAGTCTCCATTACTAACAATCCCTTTCCCCCCAGTCATATCTATGTTAGTAGGTGCAATGCAGTGAATTGTTTATTAAGTGGTTTAATAATTACCAATTTAGTACTCCAGTGCATTTCAATGATATAGGTATAACACCATAGTAATTAACTCTTGTCAGATATTAATATAAACAGTACCGAGTACAGAATACACATGATGCCACTAAGCCCCAATATTGGGGAACTCTAAATATTGGAGGAAAAGGGATATGATGTAGAATACCAGTCGCATTGCTAGCAATATGGCAGGTCGACCTCCACGTGATTCACCTTGGAAACCATCATGCTGAATTCTAAATGTATTCATCCAAATAGGTTAATTGACCAGACTTTTCATTCTCACCTATCATCCCTCACTGGTACCCAGCCAGCGTACATCATCCATTAAAAAAAACAATATGTTGGCATTTCCAGAAATAGTATTATGCTTATGCCCTACATTTTCTGTTGCTACATCTCGACCCTTCAAACTGAAACACAGTCATTCAAAAACAACTGCCTAACAATGAAAAGACGATACAAAAATATATATGTATGATTTTATTTTACTATATATGATTGCTTTACGCTTCAACATATCTGAAAGCAATGAATTAAACCGGCTCTATGCCAATACCGATCCATGTAGTAGCCACAAACCTCGCATATGTATGATCTCTATGCACTCTCCCTTTGCTAACCGGTAAATGAATTTTAAATTCATGTCTATAAACTATCGTTGACAGTTTTCTTTCAGTTAGATTAAAAATAATACACAAAAGAAACCCTTTTTAACCGGGGGGAAAGGGATTGTTAGTTATGGAGACTGAGAATCCCATTGCTAGCAATATACTCAACAAGGTCGACCTCCTCGCGGTTCCCCCTGGAAACTATCATGGTTAATCTTGATGAATTCATCATGATGGGCTAACTGGCCTGTTTTTATTCTCATCTATCACCCTTCACTGGTGCTCCGCCAGTGTATCCCGTTAGCGCAGGCGGGGCTACCATACCATTTTCACTCATATAAAAAAACCCTTTTTAACCCACACTATACTGAACGATTTGGATTCTAAAATATGAGCATATAGCAAGTAAAGAGGTGAACGTACTGTAGATGTTTAAAAATGCCTAATAGGTGATTGTAGGCAACTTGTCAAATAATACTTTTTAATACACAAAACTTGTCTCTCTTCAGATTTAAGAGCTAGTTTTTTTTATACCACTGAAGTGGTAAACAACCATACAGCCCACTTGATGATAAGTGGTTATCGTAGCCTATGACTGGCTGCAATACCAAAAGAATTGCGCGCGCATTGCCTACCGTGAAGAAATCTCTTTACCTCTTGCTTGAAGAACCTCATGCTGTAGTCTCTTGGAAAAAATCTCCACAGGGTGCTCATTCCATGACCTGAGCGATCGTGTTAGTACAGCTTATAACCTTTAGTTCGTTAATAATTATCATAACTCGTCTCTAAACATATTTAAAAAGACCGAACTAGTACCAAGACATTCTCGCCACAGGTGATAGCTACATTTTATACGGAAACGGACTTGCAGCTTATCTAATAGTTCTTAACTCCGGAGTAAAGAACTGATCCACTCTATTGAGTACTATGAACTTTTAAATGATAACGTCGTAACCAAGAAACTCGGTTGCACTAACACTGAAGATCTTAACATCAAGGTTTTATTTATTTATTTTTATGCAACTTAGAAAAGCAAACAAGCTGACGGCCCACCTGATGGAAAGTGGTAACCATCGCCTATAGACATGAGCAGTACCATGGACTACTGAATATATATCTTAAGGGCAGACTTAATGCCTGATGACATTCTCTACCAGTCAACCGTTACGCTAAACAGTGAGAGTAAATGGCGGTACATTCATTTAACAAGAAAAATTTGTAAATTAAATAAATATTTTGAGAGATAGATAACATTAAAGATTCTAGTACTCTTAATGATGGCAACGGATGGTAACTTATTCTAGGTATTAGAACCACAGATAAAACGAGTTTTCGTAGCGATGAATGCTTGTGCCTTAATAGAATTAAAGAACATTCAGTCAACGCAACTCAAAAAGTCAACAGAAAACTAGTTAGAAGACTGGATTTCAAAGAAACGATTCAGCTTTTACCCCTAACGGAGCAAAGAATATTACGTATATACATATATTTTTTTAATTGATGATAATGGGAATTATAACCCCGTATGCATATCTGCATATCTATGTATACGTTAACGATGCATCAGTAAGGAATAAGATGATGAGACAGGTCATTTTGCCCATAATGACGAATTCATAAATCCAGGGAGAACTCCGTGGAGATCGACCTGATGGAGTATATTATTAATAATAGGGCTGTTAGGTATCTATTACTAACATTCCCTTCCCACCCCCCTCCCATATTACGTATATTAATTAGTACAACCTGTGTAATAAAGCATCCCTAGTAGATATATAGGTACTAAGATCCGCATTTCAGTGAATATCACGCGTGGTCAATAAGTCAATCGATGACCTACGTCGACCTACTGTGTATATACACAGTAGGTCCGTGGTTGTTCAGTTACGTTGGATGATATCATCCATCGTATCTGAATCAACCACGGTTATAACACTTTAGTCGGTTAGAAAGCTATCTATAATTTACTATTTGTAGAAAGCTACCTATTTCCACAAGATTTCTTCTGATAAAAGTTCATACGGAGCCCTTAGACAAAAAAAAACCCAAAATATTGACAACATTCTAAAATAACACTACACTCCCTACAAGTCCAGGAATCGAATTATGGAGCGCTAAGGGCTAAGACCACCACCCGTCACTTCGCTATTAATAATTGATCTTAAAACCAATTTATTGTCAACGACCTTTTACACGCAACTTCGCCTGCATGACTGAAATATGCTCACTAACTAGGAGAAAAAGAAAGTAACCTATAACCGTCTCCAGGGAACGATCTCGTCTCTATACTAAAATTCATCATACAGCCTTATCTAACGGTGTAGACGTGAAAGCATAACAAACTCACATACGCATTTATATAATTAGTAAAGGATGTGCAACTGCAAAGTGAATATTTTTTACTAAATCAAGTCTTACTCGTAATGATTAAATACCTGAATTGATTTGAATAAAAATTTATACACAGAATGGCATTAATAAACCATTACTGGATATCTTATCTTCTCATCTGACTTTCTAATCTAATATCAATATGTATTTTGTTACAGATGCTCCAAACGTTATACTTCTGCGTGTCATTCCTAAATGACATAATCGGGACAAACGAAGTGGCGCCGAAACGGACACCATTGATACGCAATATAAAAGACATATTATTCAGCGTGGCTTTCCCTATAGCCCTCTACGTGTCAGTGGCCTTCTGGGGCATCTACGCGATCGATAAACCACTGGTATTCCCCGAAATGCTGGAGAAAATATTCCCTGCCTGGCTAAATCACACCATGCACACATTCATCACAGTGTTCCTGATTATCGAGTTACTGGTCACCAAGAGGAATTATCCGTCAAGAATAACCGGGAGCACCATAACCATAGTGTTTGTGGTGTCCTACATAATATGGATGCATGTGCTTCACGCCAGGACCGGAGCGTGGCCATATCCAATCTTCGACGTGCTAAATCTCCCAATGAGATTCGTATTTTGTGGATTTAGTACAATCTTAGGTTTAGGTATTTATATAGTCGGCGAAAAATTGAATTCTATAGTAAGCCCTATATCAAAACAATATTACAGCAATGGTACATCGAAAAAGAGTAAACTGAAATAAATTATTGAAAAACAGACTGAGATAATGAATTTTATTTGCACCTAATAAACTGTAAGATTAATCTATAAGCTGTTATTATATATAGAAATATAGAAAGGAGCTCTGACTGAATGACACATCATCGATAAGCCGGAACTACTTAGTAGTCTGTTTGTACGCGAAACACGAGACAGGCGTCAGACATGCCCGATAATAGCCTATGGATAGAATTACTTTACTCTTTGCCCTTACCTCCTTACCACAGTTCTTGCCTAAAAGTAGTCTCTGAGACTATTACTGAAGCGATTTTGATGATTTTTTTTTTATTGTAAATGATTGCATTTTTATAATTAATTATAACCTGCAACTTTTTTTCCTACGTACATATTTAAAGATATGTCTAGAAGGCCTACCATGAAATGTTTCCCAAATTTGAAAGTCCGAACGAAATATAAATTTGATTAAGATTACATCAAATTTATATAGACACACCGTTCAAAAATGTTAAATATATTAAAGTATCGTTCCTTTGGACCTGTATGTAAAGTTTTATGATGAACGAAATATTAAGTTCCATTTCGGTATGAACAAAACACGAAGTCTGTCCGAAATTGCGGAATTTTATCAATCATAGACCCCATAATTAGGGGAAATTAATTGCGGAAGATTAACCTTTTTTTTTTGTATTAACAGCGTACTTGCCACGGACACGCGTGCTGTGTATTAGAATTCAGTGTATTAATGACAGATAAAAATATACACCAAGGATTGTCCATCGAGTATTTAGGTCTTACTCTATAAAATATAGTACAATTAGAAAACTATATACTCTGTATTTATTATACAAAAAATATTAAGTAAGTCATGATATGTAATACAACATAAAAATTAAATCTATATATACTTGAGTCTATTTCACTAGAACTAATAAAAAATATGTTTTGTAAAACTTATCATATAAATACTCTTTCTAAATGACATAGATACATTTTTTTTAGTAAGTTTGTTCCTTTATGGAACAGGCTAAGGTCGGAGACCATGCTGCCTAGTCTTCAGTATGATAATTTATCTGGAATCATAGATTTTTGAAACATTCAATTTTTTTTTATTTGTACTACTAATAAACATCAGAATACTTATGGTCTGATAATTTTTTTATAGTTTCATTGAAACAGATCAAAATTATAAACAACCAGTATATATATGAACTTACATATAAATATGTAACTATACTAATATATACTTATTACAAAATAATCATGAACCAAAAATATTTTTAATACATGTGTAATAAAATTATTATTAATATTAAGTATATTATATTGACACCTGTGACTCAAATCCTTTGACAAAAAACTTATTAAAAATTTCATCAACTTCATCTTTTTTCTTTTTTCTTCTATTACGTTTCTTTCCTGGCAACACACTATTGGTTAAGCACATCTTCTCTGAACATGTCCGATAAACTGAACACAGACTTTTATAAAACATTAACACAGTTGTCGCACCTTTCAGGTACTGTTCAAAAAATATTATCGGGTCAACTTGATTTTCTAACTTCAAAGCAATATTATACACAAATGTCCCATTATAACATTTATAGTATGTCGTAGGTTCAAATAGACTACCACATAAGTTATTTAAACAGTTAAATTGTTGCAAGCAACATTGAAACTGTGCAAAACTATGTACTCTCTTAACATCGTAAGTTTTAGGCCTCTTAATGATTGTACCATCAATTTCAAAATGTTTTAAAAGCACACTTGCTGCAATCAGACAATCTTCATACTGAACCTTGTTCTTGTTTAAAAACAACTCATTGTTTTCATTATGGCGATCAATGGGACTCCTCTTAGTTTCCATAATTTTGTTTGAATATTTATCCATAAAATGTTTGTGACCACGGAACGTCCCAGTTTTTTCGTCTATAACCTCCAGCATAATGTAACATATGAACAAACTGTGAACATTAGCCAATGGTACATTACAATTTGTTATCCACCATAACATTGATACCATAAACAATTGAAAATCAGATGGCAACAAATATATGTCAGTCAAATCTAAGGATGGCATTTTTTGTTTTAAAAAATGATGGAAGTATGAATTCAACTGGTCATTAGATAATTCATTGAATGGCACTTCTAGTAACCTTGGGATTGCATACTCTCTGTCAATGAACATTCTCTTGTAATTACAATCATTCTGTCTACTGACATATATACATTTCTCATGAGAAAAATCAGTGAGAATGTCGAAACTATATCTCAATATAGGCAATGTACAAAGAAATGCATCTTCATCTGTATAATCTTCAGCTTGCGGAGAACAGAAGTGCAAATGATGAGTGTATAAGTTCATGTAAACTGAGGGTATTAAATTATTCCGAATTTTATCAGCATACCAACTAGGCAATCCATCTACATGATCACTTTCTATCTCTTCTGAACTTTCATCATCAGATAAAGAACTATTACTAGAGCTTTCATCATCAGTATCTTCTGTATCTACGTCAATAATTCCAGGCAGTGTCAAATTTGATTCCTCTTGTGTGTCATCACTACTGATATTAAAATACTTTAAAGCCCTACATTTCTTACGGTTGTATCCTTCAATACCCTTTTTAATAATAGCAAATACTCTGTCCTTCTGTGATTTCTTACACCTTCCCAATATTTTTGATACCGCAGAATCTAGTGTTTCATTTTGTAACCATTTAAAAATTCCATGAATAGACCTCTGCTGGTCATTCTTGCACCTTTTACTTTTAGGTAATTTGAATTGAGAAAAAAATTTTTTGAAAATCCTCTTCTCAACATAATCATTTCCAAGTAATGTTGCTAATAAAGGTAACATATTTTCTTGCAGACCACCAAAATTTTTTATTAGAAATTCTACTTTATAAAGTTTACATTGTAAGACATAAAATCTTTTGTTACCTTCTTCTACAAGTGTTGGTTTGTGGTCCAAAGTGTTGAATGGTATATACTTTATATTATATATAAAGAAATCTGAGTCATAACTCAAGACTGGGCAGTTTAAAGTCCTTGCCAGAGCTGCTATTTCATCATCGGCTTCAAATTCACTCACTGTAAAAGGAATTTTCATATCTCTTAAAATCTCTTTGAAGACATCCCTAAATAATAAGGGAAAAATTTGCAGATACCCTTGTGTTACAGGATCCAATCTGCTAGCTCCACTAATTTTTGATTTAACCCTACTATAGGCAGTCTTTAATTTCCTGGTTTCATGGCTCCCATCGAAAATCACATAAGGGGTTATGTTACATTTTCGAAAGTTTTTTAAATGTTTTTTCACATACATTGCATATTTATCATAATCGCCGCCAAAAGCTGAAAAACTGTTCACGTACCTATATAATTGAGCACACATACTGTTTCCATCGACAACAACACAAGAGTCGTGTAAAGAAAAGTTTTGTAAAAACAATTCTTGATTTGAATTTACGTAAGTAGTCAAACCACGAACCCCCATTTTCTTTTTTCTATGTCATTTATTAAGTAAATTATTAATTTTATCAGATGGCTTTATAGCTTTTAATTTTTTTTATTTTGGTTAGGATTACTGACGATACTGTCATTCATTACAATTTCCCTTTTATCTACTATACACTCTGGTCTATACTTCAATTTCCAGGTAAAATTTGCTAAACTAAAATTTTTTATACACTTTCTACTTTATTAATTAATTCCAAATTCTGTTAATTCATACTAATAAATTTATTAAATAAACAAAACGTTAAGAAATTTATACAATATGTACCTATTATCTATTCTTAGTCTATGATACGAATATGTAGTGATGGGATTCGAGTTGCTTTTCACTCGAGTGACTCGAGTAGTTTTTATATTACATGCACTCGAGTTAAATTTTTGACGACTCGAGTTTCGAGTGACTCGCGTCGACTCGAATTACGAGTGACTCGAGTTGACTCGTACCACTCGAGTGGTTTATACCGAACCGAGTGAGAAATTCAAATTGTGACAAGTTTACCCGCGGTAGCAGGAAACTTTTAAGAGAGAAAATTCTTCCTGATGTTTATCATGCCGCACGCACTATAATTGTAGATATTCTACATTTAGTTGAATATACGGCTGCTACAACAGATTTATGGACTTCTGACAATAATAAAGCATACCTAACTATTACAATACTTATAATTCAAAACTTTTTTCGCAAACTGTTACTACTAAAGAGGTTACGGAGAAACATTCTTCTATTATTTTAGCAAGTGTGCTGAAGTCGATATTATCAAAGCCGTTTGGTAGGGAAAAAAATTATCAATTTATTTTTTTAAAGTAGTTATTACACCAATTTTAGTTAAATTTGTTATCTCATTAAAGATACATTATTTTTGTTTTTTTTTTTTTTTTTTTTTGTTGAGTTTTATTTAAGTTAATTTTAAAACACGTACATTATTACTTAAATTGTGTAAGAACATAATAAAACTGTTTATATTTGGATCTCATGAAAGTTCCTTGTTAGAATAAATTAAATTGGATTAGAACTTATTAGTAGTAGATTATGGTATAATATTTTAATTTGACTGATAGTTGATATAAGAGGTTTCTTGATTATGTATGACAGGTTTAGTTTGAAGGAAAATTCTATTTTTTACATTTTGTTTAGATTTTTTTGAGAAAATGAATACACATTTTCTATGTAAAATTAATACTGTTTTATTCGTTTTAAAATTTTGGTCACTCGAGTTTTATATTCCAAGTGACTCGAGTCAATAAAAATCACTCGAGTTTTATCTTCACTCGAGTGGCATTCGAGTGAGTAACTTATCAGTACCGAGTGACTCGAGTGAAAAAAAATCACTCGAGTCCCATCACTACGAATATGAATAATAGTTTATTCCTTGTTCTTAGAGTTTATTGAGATAGGTATCGTCAAAGATTTGGATCAATACTTAATGTTAGGTATTAAAATAAAAAAGGAGTATTCTATGTACCTCCATCACTGAAAATATTACAACTGAATCCAATATATCCAATATCTCTGCTAAAACCATTTGCGCAAGGCAGATCTACATTTTTTAAATTAGCAACCTTAAAAATTATCATGAACGGAAATTGTACCTCTGGTTACTATTTATCGTCTGTGCTAAAGTGTATTCATTTCATTCATCATTCGATATAGTCATTATTTTGTCGCTCGCTATTTGACTCATTCGTTTTCGTTCGTTTACCGGCCGCATGTAAGATTATAACACGTGTTTTCTCAAAAATTTTTACTCCGTATAAAATTAAATAAATAATTAAAGGTAAATTATTATATTGTTCTATTTTTATCGGAGTACGCTACTAATTACTCAGCGGGGGTATACTTTTATCATATCTCCCAGGCATCACCATGACTGAAGAGAAGGAAACTGATGTAGCAACTAAAACCAACGGAGAAAATACTAAAAATGATAGTTGTGTGGACGAAAACGAAGTGGATAATGCGATCATACGGCAAGTGGAGTATTACTTCAGTAAGTATGATTCGTTATTACCTTCATAAACACTAACCAATAATTACATTAGGTACATCAATTGAAATGCTTCCAATTTTTAATAAACCGCAAACAAAATTAAATATCATTATTACACATTATTTATATTGATTATATGGATAGTTTATGTATTTGACTCTTGATGTTAGATTTTTAATATAAATTATAAAAGAATATAGTTCCTGGTTTCCTGGTATTTTATATAACTTAACCAATGTAACTGTAATGCTATACTATGCCTTTTAAGCAACTTAGAATGACAAAATCATACCCCACCTAATTGAACCTGGTAACCATCATCTGCAGACTTGAACAGCACCATGAGGCTCACAGAATACACTATGACCGCTATAGTGTCTATCACGTGTTTTCAATCCTAATCTTATTTGTCTCTGCCTTGCTAAATAATTAGTGTGAACACTCACCAAACCATATTAATAGTGTTATTAAATACAAAAGTCTAAATGTAACTAGTTTAGGCGGAGGGGAGAAGGCATTGTTAGAAATGGAAACTAGCAACTACATTGCTAGCAATATACCCTCTCTGGTCTACCTCCTTGCAACTTATAGTCATCCTTGGAAACCACCATGGTGAATTCATCACAATGGGCTAAATGATCTGCATTTTAATCGTCTCCTATCATCCCTGGTGCTTCACCAGTGTATACCGTTAACACAGATAGGGTTGAGATTCCATAATCACTCATAAAAAAAAAACCTTACTTCTGACTTTAAAAACTTCATATTTACAATTTTGTATTCACACAAATTTCAGGTGATGTAAATCTGCCTCGTGACAAGTTTCTGCGTGAGCAAGTGAAGTTGGATGATGGATGGATACCGATCGAGGTTCTGACCACATTCAATCGTCTTGCCAAATTGTCTAAAGATGTCAATGTCATAGCTAAAGCACTAAATAACTCTACATCTGGATTATTGGAGGTAAATGGTTACTGAAATTTTAATTAACTAAAATTATTCAATTTGTTTAAATTATTTCTTAAGTAATCATCAGTTTACATCTATTTGTACTAATATTGTAAATGTGAAAATGAATTTGTTTATTTGCTACTTTATAGCACCTTACCGACTTAAGCAATTTGATATATACATACGAAATTGCTTAAGTTGTATATATTTTTGTGTACTAATAATAGGATAATTTATAAAAAAGTTAGTCAACAAATGTCATCCTAGCCAGAGTGGTAGAGTGCTACTAAAATACATATTTTAGTATTTTTTTTTTTTTTATTTTTATTTTACTTTGAAAGGGAAACATACAATACCTGAGACATATAAAATAGTATACACAACCATAACATAAATCAATAAAGTTTCCACAATAAACCAAATAATCGAGAGCAGATGATTTTTTTTTTTATCTTTTTTATTTAGAGGCTTTTATCCTTTAAGGATATGTCAGCCTCATCATACCCTAATCTTATAAAATACGTCACATACTTATAACATTGATACATAAATAGATAATACATAATATCTTAGTAGTCTATTTTCATAAAGAGCAGATAATGATGACAAGTAAATATAGTGGAAAAGTGAAATAAAATTATTATTGTCCAAAATTAAATGCTATTATAATAACAATGGGTATAAAATTTTATAAATTCCACATTGCATATGGGTGTGAGCAAAATTGTATTGATTTTTTCGCCTTTGGCTTGAATCTAGTGAAATTGGAGAAGATTTGAAGGAAAAGTCATATATTACATATAATAATATATTTAACAGGTATCAGAAGACAACAAAAAAGTGAGAAGAAGTCCAGAGATGCCAATTCCAGAGATGAATGAGGAACGCCGCAAAGAACTCATGTCTCGCACAATTTACGCCAAGGGTTTCCCAAAGCATTCTGTATTAGATGACTTGTTGAAATTCTTCAAACAGTATGAGGAAGTGGAAAACGTCTTAATGAGGAGGTATCTGGATTCACACACCAAAGCTAGGCATTTCAAAGGATCTGTATTTGCTACTTTTAAAACAAAAGAGCAGGTAAATTTGATTTATATATGATAATTCATTTTTATTGATGTGAATCGCAATTTTATATTTTTTTCATTTTAGCTGTAAGAATAAGGGCATTCATGTTACTATTAATCACGATTAGGAATCCACAATGGTCCTGAAACTGGTTGCGAGACAATTAACTTAAATACATGTAAGGATTGACTTACTGTTATTTTTACAGTTACAGTATAATTTGTACTTATGGGAAATTTAACAATCTAATTTAACATTATTTATTGAATAAAATTATATGAAATTAACATATTATACTGTCATATATTGCTCTTCTGTTGTGTAAAAACATTGACTGAGATTTTAATTCAAACTACATTGCATAGAATAGAAGACTCTGGAGGAGGCCTTTGTTTTCAGACAAGAAAGAATTGACAAAACCATTACTGATTAAATATTAATTTTATTGAATTGTTTATTATGTTTCTCCTTAAACCCTCTGACCAGGCATCCCGTGAATTCCGCGTGCAGTATCTACTAGTTTAATTTTACGTATCCCGCAATTTCAACCTGTTCGCTTTTTAATGTTTATTGACATTGCTATCCCGCGATATTTGTTTTAGTAAATTGATATTGTTTCTCAAAATCTCACTGGATGGCTAAATACTGGTATACTATTGTTATTTGTTGTCAAAGCGATGTGCGAAAATAAAGCGAAAAAAATGCGCGGTCAGAGGGTTAATAAAAACTTATTATTATTATTATATTGCAACACAAACACTTTATTAAAATATGAAAACAATATTCCAAAATTTATTGTGATTAAAAACTTTCTCCTGATATCATACAAAATTTATTTTCATATTGCAATTAGTTGAAGTGCCCAGTATTTAATCATACCTGTATGGGACACATAAGGACTTTTTTTATACTTAAGTAAATTTTGCTTCTTATAAAATTTTTAGCGGATGAATAATAGCTGTAATGATGATGATGGTGATAATGTCTAACCTCTAAATATTTATGTTAAGGAAATTTAATGAAATTATACATATATGCATATTTCAGGCTGAAAAGTTTGTAAACTCAAAGCCAGTAAAATATAATGATACTGAACTGTTAATTCATTGGCAAGAGGAGTATGTAAAGTTGAAGCAAGAAGAATTTGCAGCCAAGAAAGCTAAGAAGGAACAGAAGAAGGAGAAAGATGCAGAAGTGAGTTTCTTTTTTATTTACTTACGTTTATAATGTGTTTATATATTTACAATAAACATGTAAAAATACGGTTGATATGAAAACTCCTTTTTAAAGTTTGTTTAAAAATTATTATTTTGATACAAACAAGCCGATATCCTAACTACTGTTGCCAACCCAACCTGCCAAGCATGGCAACTACTGGCAAAGCCCCCCGCTCATGGAGCAGGCCTATGTTTAGCAGTGGACAGTTTATGGCTGAAGCTATGAGTGCTAATGAAGAGTGAAGCTAATATCCAATTTATCTGTGGGTAAAGGTGTCCCAGACGGACTGACAGACTGACTTTCAGACAATTCCTATGAGGCTGGCATGGTCACTCCGATGTACTAAAGCTTCAACAAAAACTTGATTAAAACAAATCTAACTTTTTTTTATACAACTTAGAATGGCAAACAAACTGATGGCCCACCTGATGGAAAGTGGTAACTGTCGCCTATAGACATGAATAGTACCATGGACATAACAGAGCATACTGTTTCGCCCATGGTACCCCCCATGCGTTGCCATTCCTGAGGACTCGGGTGTTATTCCTCTGTACCCTGTAAATTCATTCAATTTACATATTTGAATTTACCCTTCAAATCGAAACACACCCATGCAAACACAACTGCTTCACGGTAGAAACACGAATGGGACAGAGGTACCCAAGCAATCGACTTTTGTACAAAGTCTCCCTTTGGTAAACTTGTTGAAGAGTGTAAAAGGTTAACCTTCATCTGTATACAACAACAGAATAATCTGTGATATCCATTGTACAGCACATAGTTTGCTACTCCTAAGGATGATAACATCTCTGTAGTGTACACTTAGTAATTTTATGGCTGTTTACCAGTCTTATTATAACATAGCCTTGCAAATACAATTGTATAGGGGGGAAAGGGATTGTTAGTAATGGAGACAGAATCCCATTGCTAGCAATATACTCAACCAGGTCGACGTCCTCGCGGTTCCCCCTGGAAACCATCATGGTTAATTCCTGATGAATTCATCATGATATGCTAACTGGCCTGTTTTCATTCTCATCTATCACCCTTCACTGGTGTTTCGCCAGCGTATCCCGTTAGCGCAGGCAGCAATAAAATTTTCACCCATAATAAAAAAAATACAATTGTATAGAATAAAGTTACTTTTACGTTACGTATTTAATCTTTTAGCATAATTTATATACCATACATCCAGTCATGTAGATGAAGTAGCACTAAAAAGTGCTAATTAATTAGAATTAAACTTCTGTGCAGGCTAAGGCTGACAAGGAGGAATTAAAGCTGCCAACTGGAACAGTGCTACATTTCAGTGAAGGTGATGACAAGATGACGAGAGAAGACGTCAAAGAAGCCCTCGGTGCTTTAGGTATGCAAAAAATTCATATCCTGTAATTACAAAATTGGTTCAGAGATACAGAATGAAAAAGATATGTTGTTTTTAAAGAGACAATTTTAAAAAGTTCACAAGAGTCCTTTGAAAGCTGGATGTTAGTGTGAAAGCTTCGACATTTTTTTTTGTTGTTTCTTCTTGTTTGTCTTTTAGCAAAACTGTCAGTCTCCCTGGTAGGTCTAGCTGGTAGGCAGCTGTCAGTCTCGCTGGTAGGCAACTGTCAGTCTCCCTGGCAGGCAGCTGTAGGTCTAGCTGGTAGGCAATTGTCAGTCTCGCTGATAGTCTCGCTCACCAGTCGAGCGATGGTAGTGAAGATCACATTGATGGTCACTTAACAAATCCTAATCCTCTAGGTACCCAAGGAGCGGAGTATTGATTATACGCTCTATCACTTTGTAATATGTTAATTTATTAATTATAAATATATATACAAACAACTTTATATACAAACCTTATAAACAATTTCTTCTTTCGAGTTCTTAAGGCTAACTGGAAGAAATCCCTTTAAGGGATAAATTTATTATATATATATATATATATATATATATATATATATATATATATATATATATATATATATATATATATATAAATAAATTAACAAAGTTTTTAGTGTAGACCAGATTCTATGAATCAGAGTAGTATACAGTCAAATTTATAATACTTGAAAAATTAACAGTTCTTTTTATATGGCAATTTGCAGGTGCTGATATAGCTTTTATTGATTTCAAAGTCGGCGATAGCGAAGGTTGGGTTCGTCTTACTAAAGAAAACGCTGCCAAAGAGGTATCAGAAAAAATTACAGATGGCAAAATAAAAATCAATGAGAAATCGGTCGTATTTAGGGTATTACAAGATGAGGAAGAGAAAGCTTATTTGAAAAAGACCGTCGAGGAAATGGTTAAAAGACGTAAAAACCAGCACAATCACCACAAACAAAATAAAGGAAAACACTTTAAAGGCAAACAGGGGCAAGGAAGAAAGAGGAAACAAGAGCAGTCTGATGATGGTCCACCATCCAAAACTAAAGTCTCGAGTTAGTTTATAATATAATATTAATTTTTATATTGGATATTATATATAATAAGTGAAGGTTTTAAAAGCCTCGAGAAGTCGTAAATCTTTGTTATCTTTTTATTTTCACTAATTAAATGTCACTATAATAATGACTTATTATTACTGTATTCAACTGTTTTACTTATGAAAGATTGGATTTCATAAAAAAACTTTGTATCTATGTTACAATAAATCTGAATATCTTCGAGTTTTTGTAGTTTTAAACATAATAAATGTAACCCCATTGCTGGCTGAAAGCGACTGTCAACTCACTGGAAGCTAAGTCCAGGCATCGAGAATTCTGGAAAGAGAGAGAGAGAAGATACAGAATTTTTTTTATGTAATGTATGGTACAGAACTGTATATTACACCTTCATCTATATACATATGCACACTACACACACACACACACACACGACACATACACTTCTTTGAAACATTATATAATTATTACACCATAACTGTAAAATTACTTGCTTTCACTTCCACGAGACAGGCTTTGCCTAGTGTGGGGTCATAGCTATATTGTACCATAGGCATATTTGTTCAAGGAAATAAAGATATTCTTATTTCAATTAGACTATACAACCTACTACTATTCTTTCAAATTATTACAAATATGTAATGAAAAAATTTACTTTATTTATTATTTATTTATTTTATTAATTACAAATGTTATGAAATTTCTTATACATATAATATTTTATATGGGACCGAGGCCATTTAGGATTTTTTTATCACAGTTACGAGAACCAAATCATGAGCATATGCTAGTAAAATACCCTTGTCAGCAATATATCCTATCGGATCTACCTCCACGCGCTTCGCCCTGGAAACCAACGTGGTTATTCCTTATGAAATTCGTCATAATGGGCCAACTGATCTACTATCACCCCTATTAAGGCCCCCACCAGTGTATACCGATAACACAGGCAGGGTTACCATTGTATTATCAACTATTGAAATTAATTACCTTCACCTTGTTTTTACTTATTTTTTATTAGAAACTTGCATCATTTAATAGACCCAAACGGGTAATCACTCCATTTTCATTAAAAATCAAATCCAGACCTTTGTATTAACTTGAAAGCCTATGCAAACGATGTACATTTCATTTCATATCAGTTTATTTTTAATGGATAAAAATGAAATGGTAATACCGCCTGCATTAAAGCATCGGTTAGACATAATAGGTGAACATGAAAGCAGATCATTTAGCCCATCGCGACGAATTGAACAATAATCAGTTTCAGTTTCTAAGGGGATCTGCGTAAAGGTCGACTTGATATTATTGACAATAGGTTTGATAGTCCCCAATATTAGAAATTCATTTTCTCCTATATTTTATCAAAAAAAAAATGACAAAAAAGTAACATAAACAGGAAAAAAAATTAACAATAATTTACTTATATGAATACATTTATAGTTCCACTGATTGCTTCTCTTAAATATCTATATGTATATTCTTATATGTTTTATTCTACATATCCTATAAATCGTCATAGTCGTAGAATACTAACGGATCTGACAAATATTACATATAAAGATCCATCAGTATTCTACGACTATGACGAAATATCCTAGACCTAATCCTTACTTTTGGAATTTGTGTGAAAAAGGTATTTTTTTATTACTGTTGTCAAGGGATTGTTATCGATTGAGAGGTTAGTTCCTATTGCTGGCGGGAAAGGGATTGCTAGTAATGGAGACTGAGAATCCTATTGCTAGCAATATACCCAACCGGGTCGACCTCCTCGCGGTTCTTCCTAGAAACTATCATGGTTAATTCCTGATGAATTCATCCCGATAGCGCAGGTGGGGTTACCATTCCATTATCATCCATAAAAAAACCCGTTCTGTTTTTGGCAAAATACCCAAAAATTGGCGTGAATGTCTTAATTTGAATGCCTCTAAGAACGAGGAACTACATTAAAGAAGAAAAAAAAATGGAAATGTCATTGTCATTTGTGACAACTTGTGTCATATTAGTCGATTGATAATGGCTGACGAGGTTTGTTCATCCTTTATTACACATTCCTTAATTTCGGCAGTTGTTTATAAAATTGGCATTCTGTTTTTACAGGACTTGCATAGAGTAAAGAAACCTCGTTGATACAGCAAAAAGTTTAATACTTATCTAAGTATCGTAAACAAGTAATTAATAAAGTCTATTGTGTAGGGACTAAGAGAATTATAAGTTGAATTTAACCGAATTACAAGTAATCTTATATTTTTATTATGTTGTAAATCAATGTTTAAAGTGCTGAAGTCTTTATTTGTCTAATATAATGAAGCCTGATAAAGAAACATCCGAGGGAGAACCAGCTCCTATAACCGGTGACGTGATAGGAGACACTGCGTACAGCGAGCGTTTTGTATTGAAAATATTGTTAAAATTAGCTAATTTGGATACACTAAAAGATGAAATTCAAGAGAAATCCTTCGAAGATGACCTCTGCACGCTTTGGGATATGACTGCCGAAAGAGATGTAGTGCTATTTCTGCAAAAACATAACATGTTGAATCTATTAAATTTCGCATTACCCATCATAGAATCTCCTCGTATTATAGAAATATTTATCGGTATAACGGGAAACATGTGTTGTCAGAAGGAAGTTGTTAATGTACTACTCAAGATGGACAATTTCTTAAACTTTCTGCTTGAAAATATCAAAACTGACGACAGCTTAGTTCTGATTCAGCTGCTACGACTAATCAATTCAAGTTTGTTTCTTATAGACCATGAAGCTGTATGCATTTGGATGGAACTGTTCAAAAAGATTGAGTATTCAAGTGCCTTGTACTTTATACTGAAAAATTCTTCTAATAAGGATCTGTTGGTGACAGCTCTAGAAAACATCAACACAATATGTTCATATTGCAATACAGAGAAGTGCAGAGCTGAGTTTTTTACGCATTTTGTCACATATGACGCTCTAGAGTCTTTGACAACAGCATTTACTGAAATCACTGTGAATCAGAAAGATAAATGTGAGAAGGATGAACTAGAGAGAGTATTAGTTATAAGTCTGCAGACCATTCTCAATTTAGTTGGATTTGATAAATCGACAGATGTATTCAAAGACAGCAAAGATAATGTATCAAACATGATTGGTATTGTACTTAAATATTATGAGACTAAATTTGTTGAGCAAAAGGAAGTAGACTCTGATTTGATAGATGTCATAGATTCAACAAACACAATATTGAATATAATGCATTTAAGTGAATTAAGTGATTGTGAAATATACTTCGAACCAAGTTACAGAATATGGAAAGCTCTCAAATCAATATTACAAAAGGATAAAAACGGTGTTGATAATTTTGAAGAAGAGGACAAGGAGGAATTGCGAGAGTTCTCTAACCAACTTAAATCACCGTTGAGCACATTCATGTGTGTTTACTTAGCTAATTGTTCAGAAAAGGATCTGCTGAAAGCATTGGATGAGGTGGGCACAGATTATGAAGAAATACTAAAGCTAGTTAAGAACAAAGATAAAGAAATAAAGGATCTGGTCACGAAAAGGGCAGCCAGTTACAGAACTAGATTAAAAGAAAATGTTGACTCATAAATCGAATATTGTAATAACATAATTATTACCTACTTTGTATTGTCATATTAACAACCAAACCTTATGTAGGTACCATCATTTCCGTTTCAATCAATATTTTGTAATTTTGCATTAAGCAACACTCATAATAAGAGCAAATTTTTTACTTTGTGTATTATGTAAAACAATGTTAATCTCTGATACTGGTTAAATAATTAAAATGATAAGCCATATCAAATGCACAGCAATTAGACAGACAAAACCTTTATATACATTCAGTATAGTTTATTTATGAAAATAAATTAATTAAACATTGTTTTTTCGTAGTATTACTTGATACCTAATGACTCATTGTAGCAATAAGTTGTATAGATATTTCTTGACCCCTATGACCTTTGAGTAATTTTCACCAAATTGCTGTACTTTATTTTTAGCGCTAGCGACCATTGTTTGAATATTAATTTCCTAATTCGCCGATTCATTATACACCGCTCATCACAGTATTTCTTAGTAACTTATACTTTGCAATATATAAACTTATTCATGGCGATAGATTGTAACACTGGTAGAATGCTAATAGCGCCTTTTGACACCAGGGAGAAATATACAATTCTAATTTTTAAATATTAAAATATATATATTTTACAACACAGGGGGCAAACGAGCATGCAACTCATCTGATGGTAAGTGACTACCGCCGCCCATGATCACCCACAACACCAACGGCATTACAGGTGTGCTGCCGGCCTTTTAAAAAGGAATATGCTCTTTTATTGAAAGTTATGATGTATCAGTCCCGAAATACTGCTGCTGGTAATTAATTCCATAGTGGTTGTGCATTGAAGAAAGTGCTTTAAAAAACGCACGGTGGAAGACCGTCACTCGTCCAGATGGTTGGGATGAAACTTTACTCTATGGCGAGTTGTACGGTAATGAAAATCAACAGCAGATATTAAACCAAACAATTCCTCGGAGCACTCCCCATGATAAATTTGGTAGAAGATGCACAGAGATACAATATCTCTGCGCAGTTTCAGTGGGTCGAATCGGATAGTAAGGCGCTAATCATCAATTATTTGAGCCGCCCTGTGGCGCCCCTACCCATAGGTGAGAACAGTATTCCATATGCGGCCTGACTTGAGCTTTATACAATTTCAAGCGGAGTTCCGGTATGAAATACTGCCTCACTATATAGTATATTATATAAGTACTAGCTTTTACTCGCAGATTTGTCCGCGTAACACGGATATAGTTTACTGACCCGGATAAAAATTAGCCTACATATCCGACATACATACATACCTACATAGCCTACACTCCATCTCAAATAGTATGTGTGTACCAAATTGTATAGTGATTGATTAAGCCATTAAGGCGCTATAAAATAACATACAAACTCATTTTCACATTTATAATACTAGTAAAGGTTTATGTTTGAGACTCAATATTTACCATTTGGTAATAAATCATTCGAAAATTTAACGATTTTTCTTGTGAGCATTTGTTAATACTTGGTGAATTAGTTATTTTATATTTTGTAAAAATTTTATAAGAATTGAACATAAGCTGAAAAATATTACAACAGTTACTTTATTTACTGGATTTGGAAATTCTAAATTTGTGATATTTTCTAATAAACAGGTACTGGGGGGAAAGGGATTGTTAGTAATAGAGACTGAGAATCCGATTGCTAGCAATATACGTAACCAGGTCGACCTCCTCGCTGTTCTCCCTGGAAATTATCATATACCCAAACATAATGGGCTAACTCTGTTTTCATTCTCATCTATCACCCTTCTCTGGTGCACCGCCAGCGTATCCCGTTGTTCATTTTCCCATTGATATAATTATCTATTAAATGGTTCACTATTCTGTGAAATGTATAAAAGTGTTCATCATAATGGGCTAACAATGCTTCAGTTCTGGTTTTCTGGCTTTCTCATCTATAACACCCGTCGGCATCACGTTGCGTCGCAAGTTTCTCTCGAAACTCGGCAAGAAGCGTGAAATTTTTGCCGATCTCAGAACGCACCGTCCACAAGTGGCTAAAAAGATTCAGAGAGGGCCGAGGGTTCAAGATGACCCACGTTCAGGACGTCCTTCCACTTTTCCGACGAAAACGTGGAAAGAATTCGAACTTGTGTTAATGGGGACCGTCGTTTAACGGTGACAGGTGGCTGAAGAGCTTAAAAAAAAATAAACAAATGAAAAAAATTTGCGCCAAGATCGTTTGAGTTTATTTTCGAAATATATTTGATAACATGCGGGGGCGGCATTTGGGGGACATAAATCTATTAAATAGGGTTGGCACAAGTGCTATATATTGATTTACCTGAATAATTGTAAAATAAAATTTTTAAAAAACTTTTAAACAAAAACGTATAGTTACAAAATAAAACAAAAACGTCAATTGTATATGGGATTATATATTTGATAAAGGTAATAAAGCAACATTAATTTGCATTACCATAAACGATTCTCAATAATCGCAACCAGCTGACACTATATTCGACTGTAACAACATACTAACGTAACAAGGGCTCGCGTCCACTCAGCGGCTGCAAGCAAGCGAGCCGTCACACAACTTGTCATTTTACATGAATATTCACATAAAAAAAAAACGTACATCACAAATACTGAAAGGGAGATAAATAACAGTATACATTAAATGTACTTATAAACTAATTCTAATCATGAGCCTACGTGTTCCTTAAGCGGAACAAAATCGCGAAAATCTTTAAATATCAATTCGATAATATTTAGTTACTTTTAGTTAGAGAATAAAAACAGAATAAAGACTAGACTTTACACTGAACAATGTTAGCTTCTCTAATAACAACATATCTCGCAAGTGGCGGCCCCGTGCGGGCGGCGGCCTGAACTAAAACCTAAAAAACAATTCGTCTTCAAATGACGGTACACTTGATTGGCGACACAATATACACAATTCACAAACCAGACACAGCTTATGGCGCTGCCACCTGCGCTATCTTCAAAGTGGATAATCCACGCCTCATTTAGCCAACATTACTAAAACATATTACTTATAATATACATCACTAAAATTAATGTGAACTAATCGAGCCGCCGCCCGCACGGGGGCGCTTATTAACATACATATAAAACATTTAATATTACCTACTCAATAAATTACATAAATAATTTGAATTGAAAACGAGTCTTAGGCTTTTGATAAACATGCATACTGCATGCACTATTACATTTTTCCCGTAAAGCTACGTTGGGGCCAACGGAAGGTGACCATAGAGGACGGAGCTGAACTCTATGGTCACCTGTCGAGTGGACCATAAACAAAATATTTACAAAAAGAAAATAAAAATAATGTAGCCAGGAAGAGCCGCGGGTGATATGAACGTAGGTAACCCCTTTGTACCGACAGGGATATGTATTGTGACATAAGGCCGATATTAATTTTTGCTACGGCCAATAGTGAACTTGTAACAACACTACAATAATTGTAAATAAAAAAAAAATCTACAAACGCTCGATCCACTTGCGTTTCGTCGATTCAGCCGTGTAAACCGGTATAAATACTATAAATTCATAATGTAAAAATCAAAGAGAATACTTCAACGTCCTCAAATCCAGCCATATTTTATTCAATGGTCCGATTTTGGCACATTACTATATAAAATAATACTATATAATTGTAAAACGCCAGTGTCTTACCACTGACATTTTAACAGGGTTACTGTTAATTATCACACGAACGATATACCTAATGATAAATAAACCAATAGACAAGCGGATAACCAAAGAACAAGACACCAGATATTGCAGTCTCGTTCTATTTTATACATACAATAAGCACGTATTTATAGATACCGTTTGTCTATGCTATGGACTATTGTCCTCAAAGTTTTTTTATACCACTTAAAATGGCAAACAAGCTGACGGGCCCATCTGATAGAAAGTGGTAATCGTCGCCTAAACATGACCAATACCATGGACATAAAAACTATGTTATGATCATGGGCGAAACAGTATACTAATACTGTTTCACCCATGATACCCCCCATGCGTTGCCATTCCTGAGGACTCCGGTGTTATTTCTCTGTACCTTGTAAGTTCACTGTCATATCCCACTCTTCAAACCGAAACAGTATAAAAGATTCATTAATTAAATTTATTCGAGATTGAAAATTATTTACGATAAGTTTGGAAGCGTCGGGCAACATACTTCGCTAACTTGACCGAGTATAAAATTTTGTAAAACAAGTTTGAGAATCTTTAAAAATCGAAGCACAGAGTTCGAATAAATATAAATAGAGTAAATAAAACACTTCGATAGTAAAATATTTGATGTTTTACAATTTTATGAGTAAAGAGGACAATAACCTTTCTTACAGATCTTAAAAAACGTTGAAAAACATATTCAAATATAAATGTACTTACCGTCATATACATAATCCATACAATAAAAATAACTATGCATATATTGAGTATATATTTATCGGTGATAATTAACAAGTAACCTCAAAATAACGACCGCAAAATCTGGCCGATCGTTTGAACATGATTATACATAATATATGAAAAACAAAAATGATAGGTATTCACTGATAAAATTGCCATATATCTGCGGCGTTTGGCTTCGATTACCTGTTCGGTGTTTGAACATAAAAATAAAATAGAAAAAAAAAAACAAACGAATTGCCAGATCTAAATTGAATTCATATAAATCGTCATTAAAAATAATATGCATAGATCTATGCAAGCATCTATTTTAGTGTTTCCTAATCTAAACCCGCAGTTTAGTCCCGTTGTTTCCAAGAATTATTTCCTATTGTAAATGTTACACGAACGAACACACAAACAGGTAAACGAACAAGTCTATAATAAATTCTTTGGTACATTTTTGTGAGCAACGACGAATGATTAAGACTGAGTATAACGATGATAAGTCTAAGCGAATAAAGATACATCATACCAAAATACTGTCGTTTGGACCGAAACATATCTTACTAGCCAATAAATAAAAACGATTTTTGAATGGACATAGAACGAATGCGTTATATTTCATTGAATATTGTGTGAGCACGCCTATTACGATAAATATCTATTTCGAGCAAAACGCATTCAGATTGTGCGGTGTGTCGCTGATTCGTCCATACCCATCCTCGGGGCGACCCCACATGATTACAAAATGAAGTTTTAATCCGGCCGAGTGCATAGAGACCACTTTAGGGCCAGTCACTGGAATGTTCACATCGACACGATCAAAACTGCTAACGTTCCACCACACGGCTAGGCCCCAAACACATATTGCTTTATATAAGCGTATTAAATCCATTACGAGTAGGTACGATAGATAATCCATTTTGTACTTACGCACAGACATCTAAACACGAATAATATATAAACAACCTAGTTTCCCCGTCTTCGTTGTCTGTAAACGGACAGCTGTGTTCACGCAGGATAGCTACCGGGGCCACACACAGATAAACGTTCACGAATAAATATAGGAATACATCTACACAGTCTGTTAAAACGGCAAGGGGCTATCAATACATCGCATAACTAGAGATTTCATTATTTTCTCGTGGGGACATCAACCGACAAAAATATCGCGGGCTAAGTCGCGCGACCCGCTCGCACTATACAATGGGGGTTTTAATTCGCACTTCTGTAGCGAGATCGCTGCGATTTATTCGGATTGAATTCGCGAAAATGGCGGTCAAATATCGCGGGTGCAGTATGGAATCTATTGACGGCCTCGGCCGGCACGCACACTCCGCAAGCGCCGACGATCACAACAAATAACACACTCTAGGATATGACACTATCGTAACAAATAGTAACACTTCGAGATTATATCACTCCTGAATGTCCGGATGGCGTCGAGTCCGAGCCATGTAGATCTTGGAGCGCGTCCACGTGCAGCCGAGACGCCTACGCTCCGGAGAAGCCGTACACCTCGAGGACGCGGATCTCGAAGTCGCCGCTGGGGCACAGGGGCGGGTTGTTGAACGTCGAGCATCGGTCCGTCTTACCGAACCTTATGTTCTCGTCCATCCATATCGCTTGTCCGTCTCTGTAAATTTTTATGAATGTTTCAGTTGATTATTTTGTTGAACTCCAATTAGACAGGACGTACACAAGGATTAGTAATGGACGTCACATTTCATTCTTCTGTAAGTTATGAGGTCCCAATTCAACACATAATACTGGGTGGATTTTAAAAGCGGAGCAGTATGAGAATAACATTCTAAAAAGTCGACACTTTTATGTCTATAATAATGTGTCTGATCTACATGCAGAAGCGGCAAATGTGCAGAAAACTGAATTGATTAAAAATATTCATTAATATCAGTTCATACTATTTCTTTTGTAGATTAATCAACTTTATCTGAATATGCCAACTCTAAAAGTACAGCATACTGCCCCGTATCAATATCCACCCTGTACGATACCATTGCCAAAACTTCATTTCAAGTCCACACAAAAGACATAACGTTCAAGCAGGCCAAACTGTGGGAAGGGCCGGTGGGCCAACATACCCTCCACCGATCGTGATCATAGTATTATCAGCGGCCATGAAGAGCGAGTTAGCGTGGGGGGTCTTGGAGTCTCCGTCGGCGTCGTCCTCGAGGCATCCCACCCAGGGGTACTTGGCCGGCACTGGATGTAGGCTGAAAGTATATATGAGTTAGACTGACCCTCCGCCGATGGTAATCATCTTGGAGTCGGCGGCCATGAAGAGCTCGGAGCCGTGGGCGACGCGTTCCTCGGCCTTGCCGTCCGCGTTGGCCGAACAACCCACCCACGGGTACTTGGCGCGCTCCGGGTAAAGGCTGCAACGAACCACCGCGACGCTCGTGTCAGATTGTGATGGCGTTTTGTTATTGTCGCGTCAGTGATATTTTAACAATGAGCGCAATGCAAAAACCACAGACACAGAGACAGATGATGCACGTATATATTTAAAACCACGCATGCCATATTGAAATATAAATTCAAACTCAAAATAAATTCAAGGACAAAATCATTTTAAAATCAACATATTTTTTATGTATTATATTATTAACTAAAGTACAACTTTAATTACGAAAAAATATTTGTTGAGAAAAAATTACAAACAAACATCTCGGTTGGAATTGCCCAACTTTTACTAGTCAACAATACATATATATTGTAGACAATAGTATTATATTATTAATTTGTTATATATTATTATATATAATAACAAATAGTTGTCGTAAAAGGAGACCAAGGGAGGGCGAGAAATGAGCAACAATTATAGAATAGTTATCCACCCACATGGAAGTCATCTGTAACAATTATTACTTCAATTGTTACGGATTACTTCCATGTGGGTGGGAAAGGATTGTTAGTAAAGGGATTTAACTGACCCATTACTAGCTATACACCTTATCAGGTCGAACTCCACACGGTTCCCCCTGGAAACCATCGTGGTTGAATTAAGTGGAATTCATCACGATGGATTAACTGACCTGCTTACACCGTCACCTATCATTCCTCACTGGTGCCCCGCCAGCGTATACCGATAGCGCAGGCGGGGTTACCATTACATTATCACCATTAAAAAAAAACTTTAAAATAAAAATAACAATAAAAGTAAAAGTTTAGGGGACACCAAGACTATCATTTAAGGTTATTTAATGCAAAAAAAATTCGGCACACAAAATACATGCAGCATCTTTTTACAATTTGTTTCAACAGAACTCAATAAAAATGTAAGCAAGTTATATTGAAATTGTAACAGTAACACGCTCCGTATGAAATTAATAACATATCGAAACAATTAACCGACAAATCTATTTTTGGTTTGTTTGTTTGTTGGAGATCAGCAGTCTTATATCATATATATGTAGCTCATGAATGGCTACAGTTTGGCATTGAGGGGCAATGCCTTATCTTAAAAGGCTGAATGCTCTACCTTAAAATAAAAGGCCCCAAGAAAATTAAATTTGCTTTTTCAAAGTCACTTTATTATTTGTGAAAAATTGTAATTGACTTTTTGTCTTTAATTTTTTTTTATTATTATGAAATTTCTAGCTGTTAGTTTTTTTTTAATAAAAAAATAAAATAAATAAAAAGTATGGCCTCTGCTCTACCAAAAAGTTGTTTTGTCCTACTTTAAACTTGGCTCTAGCTATGGCCCTGAGCTCGTGTGTTTACATTTTTACCAAGTTCTTTGAAACAAACCACAATTCCATGTCTGCGGAACGACTATTATGTTTCTTGTAAATACTTTCAAATCAAACACAAAAATAAAGGTGAGTATATTTTGTTAAAATATCATTGAGTAAATTAACAATTATTATTCTTAATTACAAATGTTTTATTATATTTTTCAAATTATTATTATTCATTAGTAGATACACACATCGAAAAATAATAATAAAAATAAAAAAAAAACAAGAAAAAAAGCATTATTTAAAAGAAAAGCGTGACTAGCACAGTTAAGAGTTATACATAGAACAACAAAACGCCACTTTCTACATATGAATAGATATAGCTTTGCAAGACAAGGACAGAAAATGCTATTATGTACACGTCAAAGTTTTATAATAAATTTATAATAACATCCAATTAAAACTATCACTAGTGCCAAAACAAAACCCTCCGAGTACGTTTTTAATATCCCGTCTCGTTTCCTGAATATTAGTGTCATAATGAGCGACGCTAGCCCTTGCCAATATTATAAAAAAAAAAAATCTAATAAAAAAAGAATGACACAGTATCATTAACTTATATTTCAAAATAAAAAAATAAATTAAAAATATAAAGATTAAATGGGCATTATGATAATTGAATAAATGGGCTTAGTTATGCAGAAAATAACATTATCTTATGATTATCCCATAAGATATCCTTGTTTATGCAAGCATATCTTATAAGCTAGTTAAGCTCTAAATTTAATTAGGGTTGCCAGAATTTAACCCTTTTAGTGCCATTGATTTTTACTCATATCTACTTAAAAATGTCAAAGAGATCTTTGTCGTGTTGATGTCATTTACCCTTGTCTCTAAAAAACTGTATCTCCTCCAAAAATTATCCAATTTTAATATTTTTTTTTTACAGCAAGCTAAACAGCGACTCATTTCACGAGCGCTATGACGCTCGTGACACTTTTAGTTGCAATGCGCACGAGCGCGATGGCGCTCGTCCGCACTCAAAGGGTTAAAAAATCTTGTTATCGGCAGCTATGCACGGTAATTAATTCGGATAAAGAGCAAATATTATGATTTATTTTTTAGTACATAAACTATCTACACTTTAAATAAACATTTTTGTTTTGTTTTGGTGAAATAGTGTTAAATAGTTACACTACCAAGGTCGTATATTTAAGCGAATCTCTAGGTAGTGTAGTATCAAGATACTAGGATATTATAATACCCAGATATTTATTCGTTAAAATTTTTAATACTGATTTAATAGCTCATTAACAAATAAACTCTTATATTAATGTTACAATAAGTCATATACCGTGGACTTCTACGAGGATTACGAATGTTATGTATATTAATCTCTCTATTAATTTATTCACCATATATTGCTAGGGTTGACGTGTACAGAATAACTAGAAGCGGAAAAATAAATTATTCATAATACGATACGCCATGTACTGGGCCAGTGAAATACTTTGCTATTTCTAATTTATAAGTAACTTCAAATGTGATTCCACAAAGAAAGAGACCGACACGGTAATAGATTGCAAAAAAAAATCTAAATAAATTTAATTGTCTCAATTTTTTTGTCGTTTATCAACACATGTGCCTTTGGAAAAAAGTTGAGTTTTATAAAATTTTACTATGTATATAGTTCTTAAGGAAATACGTTAAGGGCACAGTGCACAACGACATATCTTATTTCGAACCGATTTTGTTAATAGCATTAATTTCAATGGTACTTACCGTGCAAAGCGTGTTAACATAAAATGAACGACGTACGAAAAATGATAAAAGCGGCCGTGTCGTGTCCAGTAAAAGCTTTTACCCGAACGCACCATAGAGTAAATAAATAGTAATAGTACAGAAAAAGCAGTAGACAAAATATATAATAGAAATAGCCTAAATTAAGTAAAAAAAAAATAAGATGCTTTTCATTGAGGAACGTAACTTTAAAATGAAGAAAAAACAAGGATTTGAATCCCATATTTTTTATCGTAACTTAAAAAGAACTCTGCACTACAGAGACTATATGTATGATAAATTTCTTTATATAACGCCATCTAGCGGTAATAAAAGTATTACTGGTATACTAGATGGCGATGTAAATATAAAAATAAACGTGACAGAACAATAGAAAATTTCAATTCTAATAAAAAGCATTTTATATGAGAGTTACTCTATTGATATATAAAAACTTACTAAAAGCATATATAATATATATATATATATATATATATATATATATATATATATATATATATATATATATATATATATATATATAAGGAAACATTTTCTATATTAAATTATTTTTAATTAAATTCATGGAAATATAATAGAATAACTCCAGTACAATATTATTTATGTAATATACTTCTCTCTATCTATCTACACATGTTTCTCTAAATTGTATATATGTAATACCTTGCCCAATAAATAACTTTTTCAATAATGTATATAACTTACTCCCATCTCTAATTAATTTACAATGGGCATACAGTAAATTTTCTATTCATTCTCTTTTGTAAGTATTTAAAGAGAAAAATATTTCTTTCAATATTTCTAGAACGTAAATAAACACATAGGATGTATAAATATCCTCATACATATTATGAATAGCTTTATAACAAAGACAAATCTGAATATAAAATTATAAAATACATCTTCTACGGCGCTATATTCCTAAAAAAACAAAATACATATTTGAACATAAAATAAAAAAGCAAAATTACACATATATGATTATAAATTAATTAATAAAAATAGAAAATAAGTTTTTGATTAGTCTTAATTTAACGCTATTAATTTATACAGGGTGTAAGGGACAGGTTGGCAAAAACTGAAACCGAGTTTAGACTATTATTCTGAACTACAAATCAGTGGAAATTCTTTCCGGAAAATTTCTTTTTTTCATTTACAATTGAGTACCTAATTTACGATATAATGTCATAATTTTTGTATTAAAATCTTACCGCAAAGCGAGGGAGACTTTGTATCAAAGTCGATTGCTTGGGTACCTCTATCCCATTCGTGTTTCAACCGTGAAGCAGTTGGGTTTGCATGGCTGTGTTTCGGTTTGAAGGGTGGGATATGGCGTGAATTTACTGGAGAGTGGAGGTGTTATTCCTCTGAATTTACAGAGGAATAACACCTGAGTTCTCAGGAATGCCAACGCATGGGGGGTATCATGGGCGAAACAGTATACTCTGTTATGTCCATGGTACTGCTCATATCTATAGGCGACGGTTATCACTTTCCATCAGGTGGACTGTGAGCTTATTTGCCCGTCTAAGTTGTATAAAAAAAATCAGCTGTGTAAGGTCAACGCTATAAGTGTACGAAACTACCTACGAGCTTAAGCACCTTTGTTCGGGCGGCGTAGGTATCGCGCGTCGTGTGGATCGTAAAATTTCAAATACATTGCGCGGCGTCAAAACTAACAATCGTTAATTATATAGCTGTGGCGCATTTCCGGTGGGGAAAATAATTTACCATCAGATTTAAACCATTCATCTGAATTAGCTGTTTTCGTTTTGGCCAAACTGTCCCTTCCACCCTGTATAGAATACCGTAAGCAAAGCTTACCAAATAGAGATTTTTTTATATGAACATAAAACAGAGGTCAATAATTTTTTACTTTAAATGCGACGTTTCCGCTGAATGGAAACGGGATGGAGGATATCTCACTGCTGTTGAGCATCTCCTTCCATTAACTACTCTTGAAAAATCTAACTATGATATAAAAATGGAATAAGGCACGCGAATGTCGATAGAATTCAAAACGGCTTTAATTTCTTGTTCACAATACAATCTTTTATCGGTACTCGATACACTCCTTGGCTGATAGGTATTTCTAATATATAAAAACTTATTATTAACACTATTAGAAGAAGAAGCTTATATACTTAAATAAATTGTTATCGACAAATATGAGATAATAATACTACGCGCACATTAAAAAAAGCTTTAAGCGTTAATATCGCATTAGTGCTATATTCACACCAATGCCGGTCTCGGTTCGTTCTCGATCCGATCTTGGTCTAGTAAAAAACAATAACACGAGAAACATTGGGGTCAATTTTGAGGCACCACTTCTCTAAACCTATCTCTTAAACTAGTATTTTAATTTGACAGTCTCCCAAAATTAATATTTTATCTATCATAATAATTAATTATGATGGTACATAAATAATTTTGTATCAAATCTATTAGAAATTTAATCCACATTGATCCTTAAAGATTTCGCTGTAATATCAAATTGAAATTTTTATTTTAGATGTGTATTTATATTATCTGTAACAGTCCAGTTCCGTGTCAGTCACGCTCAATCTCTAAGTGTTTCTATTTGACATTTCATCAGACCGAGATCGGATCGAGAACGATCCGTGATCGATATTGTAGTATGAATCTAGCTTAATATCCTTTAGAAAGTAAATATTTTTCAAAAATTACAAAGTATTTATACTAAAATATCAAAACTCGACTATTATACTCGATGACTCAGAATATAATATGAATGCGTACCTGAAGAGGAATGTCTCGCCGGTGCCGAAGTAGGCCTGCCTGTTGCCACGTTCGTCTTTCTGGTTTCGTTCGAACCAACGCGTGGAACAGTACGCTCCGAACACCTGTAAAGAGGGGAATAAGGGATTATAGTAATGATGATCTAACCGCTCCATTGCTAATAATATGCCTTTCATCAGGTGACGTCTATACGGTTTCCCTAGAAACCACTGTGATTAATTTTAATGGAACTGAAATTCCTGTGACCTGTTTTCATCATGATAACGTCATTAGATATTTATTTATTTACGTATTAACAAGCTTTTGTCATTTTACATAGTTTTTTTAATATCTAAACAGAGTAATAGAAAATACAAAGTTTTAAATCATGCTTTAGGCAATAGATTCTAAAATAGAGAGGGGTTCGGAGGGGGGGGGGGGGGGCAAATAAACCAGTCTAAAAAATGCAGATAAGTAAAATGAAAATGAGGGACTCTTGAAAAACTATGATTTAGACATTGTTACGTACCTCGTTGTTACACGTTTTTATCATGAGTAGAGTGGGTTCATGGTGTTCGACTCTCACATAGAAAGTTGTCAATGAGCAGCCATGCTCTTCAGTTGTGTACAGGAGTACCGGCTGGTACATGGTGATGCGCACGGGCAGCCACGACCACAACGTGAACAGCTGGAATCACAGGTGTCGATATTACGTTTGGATAATAGCGATTTTTGAGGTACTACTTTTGAAATCATCATTTATAAATTTATTCTTTTTAAATTTGAAACTTAAAATTAGACTTACAATTCAGTCTTTAAATTTGGAATTACAAAGTTCGATTTGTAAAAAAATATAGAATGATTGTTTAAAATATTTCTCTATAGTTTTTAAATTTCGAATAACAAAGTTCGAATTGTAAAAAAATATATAGGCCAGTTTGTTAACAACATTTCTGAATACAGATACAAATTATAATAATTAAGAAAAATATCAAATAAAATGTTCATAATTCTAAATAGAACTGGGACTAATTCTAGAATGTAGTTACGATATTAATTAATGTCAAATATAGAAATACAATTAAAAGAACATACAAAATACTACCACAGTGTGAGATGACGGCACAGTATTAGTGGTGACTGTTTAGTTGACGTATTACTAGTGCAGGTGCATTGTGCACACCTACGAGTACCTACACGACACGAATAATAATACATATGGACAAACAACAATGCATGCAATATCAATAATATGAGAGACGATTTCACATCTTTAAATAAGTTAGATAAAAATCGCATTCTCGTTTACAAAAAAAAAATATTACTAAGGAATATTAAAAAAAATGAATCTACAGATTTGGCGTACATGCATGAGACGAATTATATTAATGAATTATAAAAATATAAAAAAAACTGTGTATAAGTGTAAATAAGAGAATTTTACTACGGCAATTTTGAATTTTTCAAAATTCAAAAATTCTTGACAAAATTAAAGGGTAATAAATGAAAAAGAATAATAATAATCGGTGAAGATATCGTGCGCTATACCTTTTTATTTATACACAAAAAAATACACCCAGCCTGAAAACTTCATTTTTGTAGTCACTTAAATATCTATTTACAATTTTTAATACAATTTTTAAGAAAAAAAATTAAACTGAGACACAAGTATTACTATTCGATCAAAACTTCAAAAAGTAAGAAGTCCAATAACACATATTTAAAAAAAAATATTACATAATTTTAACATCTTAAAAAGTCACTATTGTTTGAATTAACATCTTGCATTTATTCTAAATTATTAATAAATGTATAAGTAAGTTTGTTTGTTACCTTACAGCGCCTTAGCGCCTTAATAGCTTAAGGCATTTGGCATACACGTACTACATGGAATGAAGAAGGAAGAATATAGATCTCTTTTTATCTTGATCAATAAACGTATCCCGAACACGCAAACGAAGTCGCGTGTAAAAGTTAGTAATAAATATCCTTTATTATCAACTCCCAATGATATCTTAACCAATTAAAATTGTCTAAAAAACATAATATTATGACACTTTTTATTTATTTATTTTTAATTGTAATAAATCTGTCAAAATTAATTTTAAAACTTGTAATCATCAATATTGACATGACATTACTATTACATTGACACGTACTGGTAATTAATTTATAACATTAATTTTATTTTATATTTCAAATATTGTTATTTATTATTGTCATTATTATTATTTATTTTGTAAATTTAATAATAATATTGTTATAAAATTTACATAATAACTGTTACATTGATTAATAAAAAAATATGAAATATACACTATTTACTTGTTTAAAGATGACAATCCGCCTCCCATTAATACATACATCTACAGCAGAACATAATATAAACTACTGAACAAAAACGACTGGCTAAGCTACTTTTGATACGATTATAATCGATAAATCGTTTTAGTGGCATCGAAACAAATTCAATTATAAATAGATACCTACAATAACCGATACCTCTCTTGTTTCCTCTATTTCATTATAAACTAGTGATTATTAATACAACGTTAACATGTCTGAATGGAAAATAGTACGAATGGTTATAATAGTGGATATTATCTAGTTTTTTTTTTTTTTATGCAACTTTCAATGGTGAACAAGCTGACGGCTCACCTGATAGAAAGTGATAACTGTCGTTTATAAATATAAGCTGTACCATGGTAATAACAGAGTATACTGTTTCGCCCATGACACCACCCATGCGTTGCCATTTCTGGTGAATCAGGTGTTATTCCTATGTACCCTGTAAATTCACTGGGATGACATGACAAAGATGGGAATCTTTCAAACCAACAGTGGTGTGGTGTGTGCCCAAGCAAACGACTTTTGTACAAAATCTTTCTCTGATTATAATAAATATTAAAAACTGATATTTATTTCAATTATCTTTAATGGAAATGGCAACATTTGAGGTGTTACTACAAGCGCCACAGTAGGTACATTGTGACATGTAATCTATAGGGGTTGAATACCTCCTTCTATAAAATGGACCATCATCTTGTATGCGCAAATACAAATTGCATAAAAAATATTGAAAAGTATAAACACGTAAACAAGTATTTTATTGATAAAATAACTACAATTTGTTTAAACTTGCCAACATTGGCGAAATTTTTTAAAATAAAATTGACGATTACTTTAAAAAAAATGTTTAAAATACTTATATACTTTGTATTATATAAATACATAAAAAAATAAGATTCCGATAGGACTCGGAAATTCCATCCCTAATCTGCATCAATCACTATTAGTTTAAAAATTTTAACGGCAATAGTTTAATTGAACTATTAAACAAAAATGTCGGAATTAAACAAATTTTGACAGGATACTTAAATCAAGTAATTATAATATTCCACTATTATTTCCTTACGAACTACATCCAAAACAGACATTACGGCTGACTGGTGAAACAGTGTCGGTGTAGAGAGATATCACATGCACAGTGTGCCACCAATTAGCCCATTAGTCCAATTTAGCGCTTCCAAACCTTCTGCCTTAGGTCTGATGTGTGATGTTGCTGATCCTTGAACACTGCGTTAGGAAATGGGAACCACAGGGCCAAGTGGGAGGAGCGTGGACTCTGCGAACACCGACTGTCTGATGGTGAATGTATTCTACTAGTTTTCCAAATTTTTTATACCATAGCGGTGGTAAACATAGGGTTTGATGCTAAACAGTTACTGTAGACAACAGACGCGCGCTGCACGCAAAACCTAACCTGACCTAATTACGTGGCTTTTGAAGAACCTCATGTTGTAAGTTTCTGGGTAAAATCTCGATAGGAAGCATCAAAGTCATCTTCCCATAGGTGAGTTTCTCCTTATAAGACAAGAATATCAATTACCACACTACAGTTAAATAGTTAAATTTTTATTTTTAGTTTTACTGTTGTTGTATTGAATTACAAAGCACAATACTTTGTTTTCCTAACTTGCTATTTCGATATCTTGAAGACAAAGATTGTATTCTTAGTCTACACCACACGAAAGATAAAATTTCAAAATAAATTTCGTTAAATTAGAATGCGCTAATAATTTGTTTTTGTCAAGCGATAGTGCTTTATCCGACACTAATTTAAATATTCATTCATTTTTATTTAAGAGTTTCCTCTTGTCAGTGCAACTAATTCATGCATCTTCCTCCAGCCAGCTTCCTCCTCTAATTTAAATATTATGTTTGATAAGTTTTGATATAAATCAAAAGACCACACGCGACCTGCCTTAATAACATTATATTCGCAAATACATTAAAGAGTATATAAAATTACCATACACAAACTTCGATCTGTCCATTCAATGCGAGCTATTCTGCAAAATGTAACAGGAAATAACTTTTAGAAATTCTGATCTTGTCTAGTAAATGAAATTCTCCAATAACGTTCCCGATTTCCGTTCTCACTTTAGTTCCAATAATAATTAAAGTATAACAGGTTTCTTCATTAACCTCTACATAAACAGTAACAGTGATTTATGTTACAGCCCGTCTGCAAGACACGGCTATAAACGTGCAAGTGGCCCAAAAAAATAGACGAAGTGCAGCAAATTTAAAACTATGCTGGTTGATAACCGTCTTTTATACAATATCTAACTTCTTTCAGACCCAATTTTCACAATTTTTTTTTCTTTTGGTGACAAAATACCGGCAATTCACGTTTACTAGGTAACTGGATGATATAGCTAATACATTTGGAGCATTTATATACTACATCTATAATATGAATACAGATATTGAACAAACATCGACAACGAACGATCATAACCCAGTCACGAAAGAAATAGCTGATCATGCAACTCTAGCTTAACTCACCAAATATGCAAATAAAAGTAATAAAAAAATTAAGCAACATCTAACTCGATGATGCCTTTGCCTTTAAAAAAAAAAACCTACGTGGCAAGCGGTGCATCTAACATCAAGAGGTCGCAAGCTCGTAACGAGGCGACACTTATTTGTGGCTTATATATGTAGCTTACGTCGCTCTGGTCAAGTATCTGGGACTTGATCGCTTGTATAGGGTAAACGCCCATCGATAGGGCGCGCGGGCCGGGCGAGTGCGAGCCCTAACGGAAAATCGACACACAGTTAGCACTTACACAAAACAATCGATTACATGCGACTCGTCACATCACTAGTTTCGAAGTTCCTTCACAATACTGTTAATATCTCATCAAGCTATATTCAATGTTGTTATTCATTGCAAAATTTACAATCGGTAATTTCGATTCGAGCGAATCCCACACGCATGCTCAATATCTGAACGCACCTTGTTTCATTTCATTGCTATAATATAGGAAATAATGTATCTTACAAAATAGAAACAACACACTTAAACACTTAAGGAAACATAGTAAAAGTTCATACAGTAAAAGCCGATGAAATGAGTATCGATTAACTCCTCGAAAATATCTCATGAGTATCGTTTGAAGTCGAATGATCACATCGAGTATAGCACAACATAATCATTCACAGTTCTCTCGCTACACAGACGAAAAATAACATAACGTGGAGTCGATGTGAACTAAAGTTGATGTATCTTACAAATTAACAATTGACACACAATGCTTTCGTTGTGTCGAATTTGTAATCGGATTCGATTTCAAGTTAGTCATGTTAGAATCACAATCGTATGATCGAATGATAAATAAAAGCCAAAAGCCACGCCTAAGTTGTACGATACCATCTGTTTGCACGTTTCCTCAGACATTCTCTGCAAACGAATAAAATCATTTCCGATATAGGTACATAATTATAATTTTTAAGTGCTATTTGTGTTGATTGTGGAGTTAGAAACCTCGTGACGGTTAGAGATATACCCATAAGCTTTTACGTCGACATTACCCATATCTCATTTAAAATTAATTTTCCTGATTAATCTTATGGTTATTACAGTACCCTATGTTTAAAAGAAATTTCTCGTAATAAATTATAGTTACTGATCACCTATGGTGGTATGCTTACCTCGCGTATGGTCAGGGTGTGTGACATCATTTGAATGTTAACTTGTGACTGGCTGGTGGGCAAATTGTCGGAGGACCGTGACCGCACCAGTCGGGAACCGGTGATCACCTGCTTCGACTTGAGCGTCATTTCCGTCTTTATGAACACTCGAGATATATACTGTGAACTGGAATATAAATTATACCATTAAATAAAAACAATAATTATTATTTTTGTTTCTTTCGTAAGTCATAAATTGTTCGGTCTCAAAACAGTTTTTGTCTTTAAACAATGTCATTAAACCAATTACAACAAAAAACTAACTGACAAATTACTAACTGACTAATCAACCCGATGAGAAAACACACTAAGAGAGAGAGAGAGAGAGAGAGAGAAAGAGTTAGAGATAGAAATCTTCATAACCTAGTCTTTATAAGCACCAACACTATGTAACAATATATTTACCACTTTTATAATTTGGAATCAAAAAATAGCGAAAAAACTGAATTTTGTAACAGGATAAGAGGATTAAAGAACAAACAGGCAATTATTAAGTTACAGCCGAAATTTTCCAAAGTTAAAATTATTGGATACAGTAAAGATTATATACCTTAGTGCTCTAATGCTGAAAGCTGTCCGTAAGAGCTTGGTGGGCGATGCAGGCATATTCCTGCAGAATTTGTCCACAGCGTGGTCGACGCCGTTCTTCGTGGCTTCAGCATACCACTCTGAGTTTTGATTGGTCGAGTGCTTGTGGAATAGGATTAAAATCGCTAACGCTACCCTGTAGAACACCTGCGAATCGATTAATGAAAAATTGAAGGATTTTTACAAATTTCTTTGCTGCAATATATGGCAAATTTATTTCTAATAGCAATATAAAGAAGGCATATTTTCTTATGCAGTGAATAAATAATGGACAAAATAGTTTTCGGAAAACCTTTAACTAGATATTTATAAATTTAAGCGAATTAAAGAAAGGAGGAGTTTGTGAATTCGTTTGTATCTTTTATGCACGAGTAACGCTATGCCTTCACCGATTCTCAATCAATCTTTTTGTTATAAAAACTACAGTGTTACAAAATCTAGATTTTGTATAAAGCAATATTTTAAACTATTGATGACCGACACCGATCAGCTGAAGTAGATGTTCAAGTCATATATACCTATTATGCTTGTCCATTAAGACTCATTAACTTTCCCCTTAAAAAGTATATGGAGTAGAGCAGATTCCAAAAACTTGTTTCCCTTTTTTAACATTAATAAGTTGGAAGATACGAGTTTCGTCGAATTCAAACATTAGTATTTTACCTTAATGCCCTCATGAAAAAAGCAGTCGAGCACCCTTACAAGGTGCGGGAAGGGCAGCGCAGCGAGGATCCACCACTGCCAGTCTGCGTAGATCCGCTCCGGGCCGATGGCGCCCGAGAGCCGCGACAGATGTTGAGCCGCCGACTTCTGCAAACAAGTTCACTCAGTGTACAAATGTATAGACGCAAATTTATTAGAAGGAGACTTTTTACAAAAAGACGTCGACTTGACTTCTTTTATTTCACTTGTATTTCTGCCACTAAGCAACTGTGTTTGAAACATGACTTGTTTCCGTTCTAAGTGTAGGATATGGCAATGATATTACCGAATACATAACACTTAGTAACATTAATATGTAAGTAATAAGGGAATAAACTACATGGTACAACCATAAGTGCTAGAAGGAAGTAAACTCGAAATAAAACCATGTACCAAGCCAACTGACGATAATAGCGTCTAGGTCAATATTCTCCACTTATGAAAAGAAACCCGTGTCCAATAATGGGACGTTAATGGGTATTGTTCACTATAGTCATCATAAAACCACAATCCCTCCATCAATAATGTAGTACGACTGAAGAGAGAAATGGGTATTGTGCATAATTCTCTTGAAATTACTACCTACTTATTTATTTTTAAACGTTTCGACCAAACAACGACAGTCTACTGAGTTAGCGAAAAATTTCCACATAATTTAAGTGTTGTCATAATTTGACAGAGAGATGGCTACATTCCAACAACATATCAAAGTCACTTTTTGAAGATAACGCGAAGGAATATTTTAACCTATAACTACATATTAAAGTGCGAGAGAGTCGTTTGCAAAATGTTATGTAAGAGAATGCGTTTTTTATATTTAGTTGGTACAATAAAATCTAGGATTTGAAAATGGATATATGCTTATTACATACTAGCGGCTCGTCCCGACTTCGCACGGGTGGACATTTTTACATTTTAAAAAGTGGCCATTAAGGCTGCTCACGCGACGGAAGCTTAAAAACGGAGTAACTTCTCCTGTTTTCCCAATATTTTCCTTCACTGCTCTGCTCTTATTGACCGTAGCGTGATGAAAAGTATACTATAACCTCCCCAGAAGTGAAAATAATAATTGTACCAAATTTTTAAAAAAGTTCGTTAAAATCCGTCGAGTAGTTTTTATTTCTATAACGAAAATACAGACAGACAAAAATTTTACTGATTGCATTTTTGGCATCAGTATCGATCACTAATCACCCCCTGATAGTTATTTTGGAAATATATACTGTATCTACATCATCATCATATCATCCCTTAACTGTCCACTGCTGAACATAAACCTCCAACTTGGGGGGTTTTGCCAGTAGTTACCACGCTTGGTGGACTTGGCAACCGCAATCAGGCTTTAGAGATGTTTTACGAGGGACGCTGCTGACCGTCCCTCGCCCTCCCTCAGTTGATTCTTTCTACACCCATGGGAAAGGAAGAGGTGGCCTATTCTATGTCGGGACCACACGGCTTGTATTGTATACACTCGTATAAATAAATAGGCTTTATCGGTTAAAGCCTAAATACACATAATTAATTAATATATATAAAACATTTTTTTTACGAATACTGTTTTCCCAACTATGATGTTGGGTAACACGTGCTAGGAATAAAATCAAATACAATTCTTTTATTCTCAATTCAGTCCATTTAAACTTCTGGAATGTTATCATTTTGTAAAGATGCATGAATATTTTTCCTTGAAATTTTACTCAAGCAATTCAAAAACGTGTAATTAAAATTAACTGCAGTGAAAAATTTCGTGTGTTTTCTCTTCGATGATCTCAGATTGGCTTTAACCCAAGATGCGAACATTAAAACCTTATTACAATTAGAAACGGTACGTACAAAACACGGCTTTTGTTTATATGCGTGGATTCAGATATGATGCAAGGGTTTAGTCATTTAAATGAAGATATATTACAATAATTTATATAAACAATCCACGAAGGTTGCCATACTGTCACAATAATTAATATAAACAACCCATTATACTAAAGCCGATGGATCCCTCTTATTAGGTGCTAGGATTTTCATGCATCAACCAGCCTTTTCATGCATCGTTCTTCGCATATATTATGTGAAAATTTCTCTTTGTTACTCAATTAAGCAAATGTAATGAAAAACAAGCCTTAATTACCCACGAGATGGAGTGACAACCCACAGTTTTAGAGCAAGAGCGTAGTTTATGACGAACTATTGACAAAACCTATGTTCAGCAGTGGACTATGGACATGTTGAAATAAATAAATGAATGTGAATTCAAATAAACATAAAACATACATAGCTGAATACATATAAAACTAGACTTATAGAAAATCAAATCTTCGACTTGGTGCAAAAGACACATTTTAGTATTGTTTTAAATGAAAACCACGCAAATAAACGGTAGTTTCAATAGGCACATACATAAAGCATTATATTAGTATATAACATTAATTATTTATATTAATAAAAATCGTATATGTCTAAATTATAGATTACATCATGATATATTAACAGTAATTTTTTTTTTTTTCACTAATAGTTGCAACTGAATGGCTTTGTTGCAGTCGCATTTATTATTGGATCATGCTGTGTGCACATGTTGTGGCAAGTTTACCTGATCAATACATTAATGTACTTGCATGCACACATAATTTAAATATATTTTATTTGTAAATTAATAAAAATCGTATATGTGCAAATAATAAATAAAATAATGATATAACAGTAAACACTACACTAAAATACTGTTTGTTTTCTCAATATCATATCACTTTCAACGATTAAGAAATAACTAATTAATATAAAATATAAAATAGTCTTTCTAAAATATTCTTTAATAACAATAAATCCTTTAAAAACATATTGTTATTAGTAGAAGCTGATGTATTATTAAACACGTAAACAGCAAATTACTGGTACGTTTACATTCTATTATCGAACACGCTCGCATCGCTCGATACGAGGGTTCAAGAATACCTAATCGATTTTAAAAACCCCGTCCGTTCACCCTGTACAGTGTAGTTATGTATCGATTCAATATCAATCACCTTTGCGCTGGACCTACATTAATTTATTATGACTTGTCCCTATTACTTGGTGCTTCATTGTAGCAATAATTAAGAACGTATTAATCACTATTTTCTTTTGTTTTTCTTCAAGTGATGGAAGTCATTATTAAAGGTAAACTGCCCGAATTTATCTTTTTTTGTTTCTCAGACGACACATTTTTTTTTATCAATCATAATGGAATGGCAACCCCGCCGGTGTTATCGGTATACGCTGGCGGGGCACTAGTGAAGGATGATAGGTGAGACTGAAAAGGCAGGCCAGTTGACCCATCGTAACGAAATCCACAAGAATTAACCATGATGGTTTCCAGGGGGAACCAAGTGGAGGTCGAGCTGATAGGATGTATTGTTAGCAAAGGGGCTGTTCGATCCCATTACTAATAATTCCTTTCCCCCGACACATCTGGTTAGGACATTCAATCTAAATATATACGTTTACTTGTAGGTTTTTCAGCTATCACTTTTAAAGTCCTTTATCACATCTATTTAGCCCGTCATTATAATTTGAAATAACTAATATTTATCATGAAATAAAATTCTAGATATTCAACCTTAATGTTTCTGATGATCTCTGATTTACATCAATTCCCTCGGCATTAAAACATGCCGTACAATTTTTTCTTAATTTATATCGTTCTATTGGTAAACAACGATTTCAAGATACGAAACAAAATCACTATGAGAGATATTTTCCACTGTTGGACAAAAGCCCAAAGTACTGCTGTTAGGTATTCTGTACTCAAATGTCAAAATAAAAATAAACACAATGTTTTGTTTGTTTTAATAAGTTCCATACTCGTGAAACCTATAAGGTGAAAGACAAAACTACATGAATAGAGAGTAGTCGCAAGCACGAGGTATTGATTAACACTGCGAGATTATGTCAGTTCTAGTAATGTTAAAACTTGTATCATTATGTCCAATTAACAGATTAGATCAAGTATATATACTTGTGGACAAAGTTGCATGTGAAAGTTTATAAGTAGAGTGTTATATTTAAATAGACACATCTTTATAGACAGAGACTTAAGAACTAAATTCTATCGCACGACGTACAACAAAGTTTAATGTGAGGTCTGTTATGTATCAAATGGGTACTTATGTTATCGCCAATAAAACAAATACTATTGTTGTAAGACCTCTGGGTGACACGTGACATCCAATAATAGTTTTATCTTATAATTAATTGGTTCTGTGTTTATGATGGTGATTTATGTTGCAATTAACTGACCGTTTTGTTTTCATCTGCCAATATTTAGTTTATGGGTTGAATGACCTGTTACATTTAAATACTGTTAACATAAATGTTCTTGCCGTTGTGAATTAACGATTAGAATAATTATAAAACCGTCATCGTCATAACAATACATTAATGTTACGATGACAAGTACTTACATGTTTCTCCTTATGAGAGAGTGAAATAGGGGACCTACTGTTACCACTATGAGTATTGAGATTGTATTTCAGTTTGAGTGGTGAGCATTGAAATTACAGCAATTTCACTACGGAGGGATGAGATCCTAGTATTTAAGAACTCATCCGTGGGCAATATAATATGTATCTACATCTTAATATCCTTAGTTCTGTTCGTATCTGTTGTACCACAATTACACAGTGGCAGTCTTAATAATACATCAGCTGGGCTATTTTCCATATTAATTATTTAATAACAATATAATATTAAAACATAGAATAAATGTAGATCATTTAATGTTAATATAATCGTGGCAGATGTTAATCATGACAGGTCATTTTGATGATAAAAAGCCTATGATATACCACAGTATCTACAATCTATATCAATTTTTATCAGCTGAGCCATTAGTTTCATTTGTATTTAAAGTATTATAAAAATATAAGATCTTTCAATGTAATTTTCAATGTAATCATAACAAAAACATTGGTCCTTCGAGCCAGATTAACAATTAGACACACGTTAATTTGGCTAATTCAGTATCCACGCATTGAATGGTATTAATTTAAATAAATTTCCATACGTACTCATCAACTGTCTTAAATTGTAATGAATAAAGTCCCCCTACTTGCGTGTCGCTACTTTGTAAAGGAAAGCCGATAACACGGGCGTCACGCAACGCTATGTAAAAGCTCTTACTTGTAACTTTGTTAAAATAAAATATCATAGTTTTTTCTTCATGGCCAATCAAAAAAAATTTACTCCTTTATACTTGTATATTTCTTTTCTGCAATGGAACGATATTTAAATGTACCATTTTTTAAATTTTTGAATTTCGAATATTTGTATTTTCTTAGCTATCTCTGAGATGTTATGAATCAGTGTATGCTTAGTTATGTAGATCTGACAAAAACAATGATCAACACGGCAGTGTATGATCTCAGTTGTTTTTATCATAATAAATAAAAATTTAAATAAGAAACAGCCTAGTAAGAGCCAGAACACTCATGCCACGTCATTTTCACTGGAAACATTCTCGTGGTGAATTTATGTTCAAAAGAGTTCAAGTTTATTGCGACTACGTGTTACCACGTGTTGTTTAGATTGAACCAAAATAATTTGTTAAAAAACAAACCGGCCTAAGACGAAAACATTCGTATCAAAAATTGTTTAATTGCATATGAAAATCTGTGTATTTGTACATCAGATAAATTTAGGTCCGGGTTTCTTAGCGCATTACATGCGTGTCCGTAGTTTACCGCAAACGATGTAATACGTCATTTGTTTTCAACAATTTAACCGTATAAATGTGATAATAATATGTATATATATATATATATATATATATATATATATATATATATATATATATATATATATATATATATATATATATATATATACACACATTATATATATACGAGTACTAAGATATTATAGACTTAAGTAAATGGAGAGGGTGACTTTGTACAAAAGTCGATTGCTTGGGTACCTCTGTCCCATTCGTGTTTCAACCATTAAACAGCTGTGTTTGCATGGCTGTGTTTCGGTTTGAAGGGTGGGATATGGCGTGAATTTACTGGGTACAGAGGAATAACATCTGGGTCCTCAGGAATGGCAACGCATGGGGTATCATGGGCGAAACAGTATACTCTGTTATGTCAATGGTACTGCTCATGTCTATAGGCGACAGTTACCACTTTCCGTCAGGTGGACCGTCAGCTTGTTTGTCATTCTAAGTTGTATAAAAAAAAATTAGATTTCATTCTTTTTAGGTGTAGAAATTGATGGGTTTATTTAAGAACTAAGTTTCTCAAGCAGCTTTATCCGCGTGAATTAGTACATAAAGTATCCTATATGCTAAATTAGAAATATAATTTATTTATTTAAATTTTTTATATAACTCTATGTACATTTGGCAGACTTAACACCGGACGATGTTCTCTACCAGTCAACCATTGGGCAAACCAAGAAATACGTATGCGGTGCATTATTGAATAGAGGAAAAATAAAGTAATATTTGATATATTCATATATATAAACATATAATCTACCTGTGTACCAAAATTCATTAAAATCTATTTAGTAGTTTTTGCGTGAAAGAGTAACAAACATCGGTCCATCGATCCTTACAGAGTTTCGCACTTATAACATTAGTAGGAATGGATTCACTTTTATATAGAAATCGCGATATGCAATAAGAAAATAATAATTCAAGAATTAAGAAATTATTAATAATATTCATGTGTATATATGTGTATGTGTGTATGTATGTATATATATGTGTGTAAGTTTTTATTTATTTATGTATTAATGTTATATTATTATTCATGTACTTTTATTATTTACATATGTAAGTATATATAGCTGTTTTTATTGTATTATATATTAAATTTTTTACTGAGTATTATTTAGTTTATCTTTAATTGTACGGTTATTACCCTTATATATTTTATAGTTTTCTTTCAGCTTCTCAAAGGTTGACTGTAAGAGATCCCTTTATGGGATAAGTCCGCCATTGTATATTAAATCATTTATCAGTGTTCAATTTGAATTATGTAAAATAAAGATTTTACAATACAATACAATTCATTTACAAATAATTTTAAGAAACATTATGTGAATCAGTTAATTATCACAAAATAGAATTAAGCACATAAAATCTCAATATATCAGACAAAAAGTAAAATATTAGACGTTATTCAACTACACTTAAATAGAATTAGAATAATGCAGAAAACAACTGAAACAGAGAAATCCTTCAAAATAATATACAAAGACCTATATCCAAAAAATTTACAGATGTTAGAATCAATTTAAATAACACAATCCAACGGACACATGTATTTATAATTACCTATACAGTTAATGCAACTCACGATCACGGATCACCCTCATTAGCTGCGTTGATTAATGTATGGTTCTAGTTGACGCGTGAAAAGCATTTTTATTGTTCATGGGTTGATTATACTTAATACTAAGTTATAGACTTATCTAATAGGCTGAACTAATACAGTTGCACGACATTATCATGTCTAGCATGAATCGTGTTATCGTGTGTTGTTAAAAATATTTACTAATTCTATCCTAATAAATAATACTAATATATAATAAATATAACAATTTCTTGATACTTGACTATAACGATTTTTTAATGATACGTAAATTGGCAAATAAACTGACGGGTCTGATGGAAAGTGACAACCATTGCCTGTAGACGTGAACAGCACCATAGACGCTACATAATATACTGATAACAGTATTATATCGTACCCATAGTTCCCTTCATGCGATGCTATTTCTGAGGACTGTAGTTTTATGCCTTCATCTCTGCACCCTGTAACTTCGTTACCATATTTGACCTCAAGCCGTGTGATCCTGGCATAAAATGGGCCATTAAGGGAATTTATGGTTAAAGAATGGGTAGCAGCGTTCCTCTTAAAACCATCAAACCCAACTGTGGTTGCCACCCGCTTGTTAAGCGAGGAAACTATTAGCAACCCCCCCCCCTTTATGGGGGAGGCCTATGTTAGCAGTGGACAAGTAACGACTGATATGGTATGATATGGTATTCCACCCTTCAAACTGAAAAACAGCTATGCAAAAACGTATGGCGAAAACTCTAGTAACAAAGAGGTATGCAAGCGACTTTAGTACAAAATTTCCCTCTGGAGTCCGCTCTTTTGCAGTTATCGTTTCAAGACTTTATTATGCAGCGGAACACGCTCGGGAACAATTCTTCAAACTACGAAGTTTCACTTCGCTCGACATAGTTATGAAGACGTTCATGGTCATATAAATCTATACTAATATATAGTTTTACAGTAGACGACGGTGTACCTATTTTATGTAATCGCTCAGTTGATCAATAAATGGGTTTAAGTATAAACAACTTCAATTTATACAAGTTGAATTAATAAAAAGTGTCGGGCAAGTAATAAGCTTTGAACGACAAGGTTCTTTGGGCATAGACTTAACAGAATGAAAATACAAGGGCTGTGGTTTGATAAAAAGTTTAAGTTGACGCTAAGTCGATTCCGTAAAGCCTGTAAATTACGTTACTTTAGTCTTTTTGACGAAATAAATTTAAATTAATACCCTGAAAAAATATTAGTCCTTTAAAAATTTACGTTTTTCAAAAAAGGAGTATTTTTCGAGAGGCTTTCAGAATTGAAATAAATGTATAAAACTCTCGTTTTACCAAGGGTCGAATTTGTATATGTAATTTAACTCCAATCAAGATGATTCAAAAAGACTAGTTTACAAGCACTTCATAATCGTCATTTTTTATGAATCTACAGATTTTAGAAAAATTTTATCAAAAAAAAAAAAACTATTAAGTTTTTTGGCGATGTCCAATATTTACTCCTATTATTATTATACAACACATTTAAATATATTTCTAATACTCATTAATTTGTTTTATGATTCATCATAAATAAAAGTAAAGATATATATTACTAGAATGTTTTCCGTCTTTATATAAAATACGAAGACTTATTATTACTTACGGCATGTTTTTTCGCAATTTGCATAACAGTCTTCCAGGTAACTTCGTTCAGTAATTTAGTTTGTGTGATGAACATTTTCTCTTTCGAGGCGACCAGACTCGCCATGCAGTGATAGCACTCCTCCTCTGCAACAATAAAAAATCTATGGTTAATATTACAGATACCGATCCTGGGAGAATAAACAGGGAAAGCCAATTGTCATGCTTATACAAAAAAATACAACTTCTGACCATTTGATATGCAAACAATTGTTAACCGAGATTGTGTTATTGTCGATGTGGCTAAATTTAAGATGATCGATACAGAAAAATCCAAATGTACACGACCAGTAATTTTTTCGACACATTTTAGAGTATAACACACCTAAATAAATATAATTTAACATTACAAAATGCCATCAAGAACTGAAGAACAACACAAACAGTGAATTAAAACATAGACTGGGTACGAGTATTTTTAATCGGACATTTCATAAAACAAATTTTTATAAACCATATAAATGAAAAAGTACATGACGACATCAGTCTGTAAAAAATGTTATATTTTTTACACAACTTAGAATGCCAAACAAGCTGACGGTCCACCTGACGGAAAATGGTAACCGTCACCTATATACATGAGCAGTACCATGGACATAACAGAATACTTATCACTAATAAAAATTTTATTACTGATAAGTAGATGCAGGTGGCTCAGGACCATTCGTTATGACAGTCTATGGTGGAGACCTATGTTCAACAGTGGACATATAAAGGCAGATACAATGATGATGATTATGATATTACTAATAAAATAAATATTAGAGAAAAGTCCTTCCAATTTAACAAATATTACAATCTTTTCGATTGTGTTGCTAGACAATAATTTCCCAGCTCGCAATTTAAAATCCCTCGCGTGCCAAGATATCGACGACCGGGGACAACGAGAACCGAAACAATTTAGGAAATTTCCTTTTATAAATTGACCAAAGCAGTAATTGAATCCGAAACCTCATTTTCAATATAATATATACCTTGCCACTATCATTCGATGGGCAATGAAAAGATGCAAAATTACAACTACGTAGACACGTAGCAGAGATTAGATTATTTTGCACGTAGTTTATAATCTGGGCGAGCTTTGTACCTTATCATTTAGTATGACAGAGCAATTCTTGGCTATACATTTCATTACAAGGTACTGTGATTGTAACAATGAATCATTCATTTAAACCTCTTCTTTTGTCCTTATCATTAATATTAACATTTTCCTTTGCTCTGCCTGTGATTTCTCTCTATTCAATTCTGAGATTTCCTCGACGTGTACCACTGCAAACAATTTTTTTTGCAGATGCGTAAAAGACTTTTAAATAAATATTTAACAAATAAATATTTAAAAATCAATGACACAGATCTGTAATACCTAAGCCCTACCTTACATTACGTTTGCGTAGTTTAAGCGCCAACAAGCCACGCAATTTGGCACATCATCGGTAGATCCTATTAATTCAGAAGATAAAATCAAAGGACAAATTGGTCAGTCAGTTTTCTATAAAGATAGATTGTTTATGTACTCATTTTAAAACAATTTAAGAAAAAAATTATGTTCGACACACTTGCAATTTATCTAGTGTCCTAAAACTGTAATTTATCAGTTATCGCCATTACATCAAGTACTTAGAAAGCGACAGTTTTGTTACTATCATATTGACATACTAACAAACTACCTTCTTCCTACTAAACTAACAGTCTTAAACCATTATGCCATATGTTTTGGCAACATTTCTTCGTTGATACAGAAATACATCTAATTGTTCAAACGGCATGTTTATTGCATAACAATAAACAAAATATGGACTTTACAAGTGACATGACAATGTTATCCTTTGAAATAAAAATATTAACTGAAAGATACATATTTTACAGCCTCCTGAAAAAATTGAGTAATCTTCATTCAAATATGAGTCGGTAATAATCGATCGCCAGCTACTGTAACGCTACACCAAAGCTCATATTATACGAGAACAGAATTATAAATAATTGATGAGTTTTTCATATTCCTCTTTCTAATTGAGGTTAGAAGAGGGTCTCAATCCAATTAAGGTTAAAAACAAAAAGCAAACAGTTATCTAATAATTTAAAAATATATACTTGTATAGCTATACTGTAGATAACAATGTAATCAAGATTATTTATATTCAAGAAGGAGAGACGATAGAGGTTAAGTAAAAAAAAAATCGAAGTGAGTAGAAAGTGTAGAAATGTAAAAGAAACTGAAGGAAATTATTATGTCTCCTTAATAATGACATATATTCCGGTATATTAGTAAAAAGAAATCGTGTGGCACCAATTCACCACTGTTACAGCCTCAGGATGTTGTAATAAATCATAATGTGGAAACAAGAGAAGGAATATTGAAAATAAAATCTTACCAAAAACAAAGTTTATCACGATCGAATAATATCCTGCTTTTATGAGAAAACAACCATGGCCAGCAAGGGCATGATGTCTTATCCCAAATGTTACAATTAATTTTTATACAATATCCCAACCAAAAAATAAAATAGATCAGCATTGTTTATTTTAAAGGAACTAATCGTTGTAGGTGTTGTGTAATAACTTAATCACCCGTTGTTATTCAATTTAATATTGTGTTATCGGTGTGTATGTTAAAATCCAATCAGGTAGATACATGGAGTGTGAAAACGTTTAAAGAGATTATGTGTACTTCATTCATAATATAACGGATGTGGTTAATAAAGAGCGGACACCGCGGTCGTGAGTGAAATAGGCCATTACTAAGGCGATGTCGGTCTGTATGCGTACGATATATGTTATATATGTATTGTTTCATTTATAACTTCATACTTGTTTTGGTTCGAACCAGATTCATTATTTCCATACAAATTATATTATAAGAGTTTTACAAGAACAACACCATTCAAGTCACGCTTGTCTCTCACTAAGGAAGACATACTCGTAAACAATGAGACGCCATGTAAATACTCGAATTCAAATGGATCTCTTTCAGTTCCTACATATTCTTGATGATACAAGTTCGCAAGATAAATCGTCGGTTATCTCTATATCTTTTTATTTGACTCTTTTTCAGCAAGTTATATATTTGGTTGTTACAATATTTGTACAAATAATAAAATAGCGACAGTCATTCCACTGTTTGTTACGATTTTGACTCATTATTTTATTTATTTATACTTTATTGCACAAAAAAACTTTGTACAAGTGGCGAGCTTAATGCAATATGGCATTTTCTATCAGCTAACCATTATGTAAAAACAGAAAGCGTATGAAGCATTATCATACAATAAGTCTATGTAAATCTCTAAAATGATCGTCACTATCTAGGCAAAAGTCTATTTGGGTTTGTAAAACAATAGTATTATAATCATCATCAACATTATATCAGTCTTTAACTGTCCACTGCTAAATATAGGCCTCCTCTTTAAAGGGGGGTTTGCCAATAGTTGCCACGCTTGGTAGACGGATTAGCAACAGTTAGGTTTTGAAGATGTTTTAAGAGGAACACTGCCTATCCCTAGAGCATTAACTTCTTTAGTTGCTTTTTACAAAACCCACGAAAAAGGAAGGGGTGACAAATTCTATGCCGGGACCACACGGCAATAGTATTATAATACGCCAATGTAATTCCTTAAAATGATAATAATGATAATGATGGTCGCAATAGTGAAACATAAGCTGGAAGAGCAGTTGCAATTAACATGTTTGCTGATAACACAGAAGCGGGGAAACCAGTTCCAATTAACGTATTCGTTGATACGGTTTTCATTCAGTCTGTAGCTGTGTATATTAGCGCGGTGCCAAGCAATCACGTTGCATGGGATGCGAATGACGGCGCACTAATTTGCAGTGCAATCGAAACAGATTAAGGAATTTATGGTAACGTTGAGTTTTGTGATTGTGAAAATAATCATAACGTTGTTTTTGATTTTGGTATAAATTTTAAATTAATGTTAAATAAATAAAAAGATAAAAAAACACTAGGTGTCGTGTTGTATAGGGAGGTCAAGAATATGGACTGGAATAGAGTTGGCTGGAAGATAATACATGAATTAGTTGCACCGACAAGAGTAAACTCTTAAATAAGAAGAAATTAAATAATATTTTATAAATAACTATAATCTAAAATATTCGCTTTAGAGACATCTTGAAAAGTATTATCGCTGTTAATGTAACGTAATGTAAATTAACATAAACTAGACTAGTCCTTATTTTGCGGAGCAAATAGAACTTTAGCTCAAATATAATAAGAATTTGTAATAAAAAAATTAAAAAAGATAATGATTGTCCAAATGCACATTGAATAAATTTTACAAAAATGCAAAAAAAAATTTCTTTCTTTCTATTCATTTTTTTTTTGTAATCTCTTTCATCAAATGACTCATCATCAAGTTCTTAAAATTTAGAACATGAACATAAATATTCCGTTACTTTTGTTTCAATTATTAGCTTACGCAACAAACATGCCTTGGTGACAATAAACTAATTTAAATATTCAATGCAATGTAATATATACAATAACACGTGAAACGTAATAAACATATACAGAAGAAGTTCGGTCTGGGCTAATTAAAATTAATCAGGTCAATGTACAAGGCGGTTCTCAAGACACCTGTATCAACACCTCTTTGTTTGCGCAGTGAAAATGTAAAATGTTTCTTGTTGAACGTTAAGGTGGCTAATGATAATAAAGAAATGACGTCAAAAAAACTAAAATATCATTATAAAATAAAACACCAAAAATGAACATTAGAATTTAGTTTATTCTAGTGACATTCGAGGGTCTCAATAATTATTATTGCAAAAATAATTGTATTGAAATCGGTTCACAATTGACGTAGTAATCAGTGGGCATCCATAAAAAATATTCAGTCGAACGAACATAGAACCACTTCCTTTTATAAAGACTGTTAAAAAACAAAACATATTGAATGTAGAATGAATGTAGAATGAAACGTGTACCAAAGGTTTTATTGTGCATATATTGGTTCAAAGACTCTCAACTCTTTCCTTGTGCAGCACATGATTGATCATGATAGATCAGGTTAGCCATGAAAGCGTACAATTATTATTGAAGGAAGCTCATATCAGTATATTCATTTATTGTA